TCCCTCCTCCCCCCACCCACACTCTCCCTCCCCCAACCACTGACAGACCGCTGACAGAAGGCCGGGGAGCAGGTCCTTCTGGCAGAACGCCAAGGCTCGTTCGAAGACGGGAAACTTTAGTTTCTGGCTAGGCAGCTACCACGTTGTCGGCATAAGCGGCGAGGCCGCGCGAAAGGTGTTTCTGGACCACCCTTGGCTTGACTTCTCCAGCGGTGCGGCTCTCCGGCCGCTCGGTGTGCATTTTGTGCCACCGGTTCCGGAGATCTTCCATGCTGGTTTCCACAACGGTCGCAGCTATTTTCTGCGGCGTCTACTCGACCTGCAGAAAACCGAGCACCTTATCAAGTACCTCGGGCGCCTGACTACAGATGCAAGAAACGGATTTGAGGCCTTGGCCCGAGGACCATCCTCCGTTACGGACCCCTCTGACGTCTGCTGGCGTATCGTATTCAAGCAAGACTGCCGCTTCATGTGCACCGACGAGCTTGCCGATGACCTCCCACTCCTGGGAAAGCTCTTGGGCTACGCAGAGATTCTGCAATCGACCAGCGCTCTCTATAATGTCCCTTTTTGGTGGCTGCCATCCGTCTCTTACCTAAAACGCCGCTACGGGCGCTATGGCTTGAGGAGCCACCTGAAGGCACTTCTCAACAGACGCGTGAAGAACATGAAGCAGGGTGCCGAGCGCAGAGAGGACGCCATGACCATGCTGATCGAGAATGGCGACAGGATGGACTGGGTCCTCGAGTTCTTGATCAGCATCCTGTTTATCGCGCCTGCCAACTCGCGCATCCTGACCGGCCACATGCTGAATCTCATGGCCATGCACCCGGACTGGCAGGAAAAGATCTATGCCGAGGTCAAGGCCGCCGCTGCGGCACGTGGGAAGAACAAGTCTGCGGCCACCTTGGCCGAGCAGCTCGACTCGCTGCCTCTTGATGCCTGGGAGTCATCATTCCCTACCATCGACATCTGCTACAGGGAGGCAATCCGCATGTGGACCGCCTTCGCCATGATACGCCTCAACACATCGGCGGATGCTATCCCTATTCCCGGCACCGACGAGGTCATCCCGGCAGGGAGCTACGTTTCGTACAACTCGACCGAAGTACACTACAACCCGGAGCTGTATCCAAACCCGAGCAAGTACGACCCGGAACGCTTCCTCGAGACTCGCGAGGAGTTCAAGAAGCAAGTTTACGGTTGTAAGTAACTCTGTTTGGCGTAACCAAAGCCGGCAAGATTCAAGAGCACTGGGAAATAGCTGACTCGTCACAAAACGTCACTACTAAGTAGTCGTTGGCTGGGGCCAGGGCCGTCACCCCTGCCCAGGAATGCGCTGGGCAAAGCTGCAGCAAAACATTATCCTCGCATATGCCTTGGCTCAATTCAAGTGGAGCAGTTGCGACGCCAACGGGGAGCCTATGCTCCGGGAGGCACACAGGAAGCAACTAGACGACCCGCATGCAACGTCCTTTACCAAGTATTATGTCAAATATGTGCCCAGGGAGTAGAGTAGAGCCGACGAAAGAGCCGACGACATCAAGTCCAAAAGCTTTACTCGGGAGGTTTCCGGAGGAATTGACCACGTCACATTCTACTAGTAACTTTTGGGCGGGCATGTTGATGTACTGTACTACCTACCTTACTACTACGGGAATGCGAGTTTCTGCAACTTCCAGTCACTGCCCACTGCAGATACTTCGGTGAATCTAGGTACATGTACATGTAGGTACCATACAAGGTAGAATCGGCGGAACAGGGTCAGAGCATAGCATAAACCACATGTTATTAAAGCACCAGCCCAAAAGTCAACAACCTCTGATCCTCCATCAGCCGCTCCTTCAACGCAATCAGCTCATCCACATCCCAGTTCGCCCACACAAAGCGCCCATGCAGGAAGCTGCTCTCAGGCCCGGCCAGCCACAATGCAAAGTGCGCCGGGAGGTCCAGGTCGTCCCACTTGATCTCGTCGCGAGCGTAGTGCTCGGCCACCGAAGGTGTGTAAAAGGTGCCCGGATGGAACGAGAAGAGGCGCACATTGCCCTCGCCCTCTGTCTTGCTTTGCTGAGCCTGCTCCACGGCAAAGTGCTGCATGACCATGGCCAGGGCGGCCTTGCTGGACCCATACCCGACGCGGCGCGTGCTTTGCACCTGTGCGGCCGCCGACGATATGTTGATGACGGTCTTGTCTCCCTGGCCTACCCGGGTTGGCAAAGCAAGATAGGCCTTGATGAGGTTGAAGGCGGCGACGACGTTGGTGTCGAAGGCCTCTTGCACCTCCTCGGCCGTGATGTCGGTGGATGCCGCGCGGCGGTGCAGCACGGCGGCGCCGAGAACCAGCACGTCGACCCTGCCAAGATCACGCAGAATCCCAGCCATGCGCGTGCTGTCTGTTACAGAGGTGGCGTAGGTTGAAATGAGCGTGTGGGGAAAGCTGGCCTCAAGCTCGGCTTTGGCTCGTTCCTGCGGCCGGGGCGAGCGCGAGACAATGGCAATACGTGCGGCCCCGGCTGCCGCAAAGGCCTTGCTAATGCTGAATCCCACGCCCGAAGAGCCACCTGTGACGAGTATCGTCTTTCCCGCACCGCGGAAGCCGTGCTGTTTGGCAATGCGGTCGTACGTCGTTTGGTGATACGTCTTGGTTGGACGCGGCATCATTTGGAGGAAAGACATGGTGCTACCGCTACTATGGATTGATAGTTCGTGTATGCAAGGGATGTGGTGGCCACCGGTAGGTCAATGTGTGTTGGAAAGCGGCTGAAGGATGGCTGAAAATGCCCCTGACAGATGGGATATATACTATACAGGTCCACGGTATTTAGCTACTAGGCACCTACCTAGTTAAGGTAGGTAGGCAGGACAGGTCAGGTACCGAATAAGCACATATTCCCGCTCTAACATCTTCAACTCCTCCGAGAGTTGTTTATACGCTCCTCTGTGCTTGAAATTCAGCTACTACTAGTAGTAAACTTGAGGCACGTTTGATGAGAGTCATGGGACAACTGTACTTGTACATAGACGACGAATGAGCCGCCTGCGCCCAGTTTGGTAGTATCAGATTGAGCTTGAAGTCGATTGTTCTCGGTCACATCGCTGCCGTATCGGAGAAATGCTTAACGGTCCGGGACCGGGCCAATGATCAATCAGCCGGGATCGGGCTAGCCCGGCCTGTAACACAACCACGACCCCACCGGTGACGGGTGTGGTCGGACGGGGATAGCCTTGTATTAGGTATAATATGATCCATTGCTTTCTTGCTTCCTTTCTTTTGCAGAACAAGTCTTCAAGTTGGCCACCCGTGCTGGATCGCCTACAGGTAGCCTTAAGTTCCTTGACATACGCTAGCCACAAACTTTCAGCCGGTTACCGGTCCCGATGGCACTCGATGCCGGTCTCCGCATCCGCTCCGAAGGCCTGGGCCTCGGGCGCCTCGACGCCAACCCGCCCGGCTCCAACGATGCGGCCAGCCGCTTCCTGCAAGAAAACCACGAAAAATGGCACATGTTCTTTCGCGTCCAGGCCGGCCACAACCATATTCCGCATGCAATCCTCAGCACCTTGGCCATGGGGGGTAGCCCGGAGAACGTGCAAAGGGCGTACGATGACGGCAAGGTCATCCAGCGTCCCATGCCGCCAGTGGACCCCGATGTCGTCAAGGAGATGAGCGACGCGGCCAAGTTCCGGGCGCACATGCAGGTGCTGGACGAGTACCCCAACTACCTGGCATTCTTCAAGCAAGAGATCGCAAATAAGGGGGGAAACTGGCAGGCGGTCGTGACGGACTTCTGCTTCAGCCGGACCCCGCTCGCCGACTTTATGCTGGCGCAGCTCTTCGAGGGCCTGTACCATCCCTTCATCCACCTAGGCTTTGGCATCGAGTTCGAGCTGTCCAGCCTCGTGGCCGAGGGCCTCGCACAGGCGGCGAGCCACGACCCGACGCACCTCGACGCCTTCTTCCAACGAGCCGAGGCACTGGCGGCGGAAACAGACCCAGCACAACCGCGCACGCCGCTCCTTAAGCTGTACCGCGAAGCGCACGCCAACCGCACCATCGCCACCGCGGCGCGTGTGTCCGACGGGCCGTGGAGGGTGCGCGATGGCGTGCTGGGCCGAGCGCGCGAGGAGATGGCCCGTTTGGCCGCGCAGTTCCGAGTCAGACCCACGGACGAGGACGTGGAGCGAGCGACTGCTGAGATGATCAGCTGTGCGGCGTGGATGTGCGCGTCGGCGCACAAGCCGGGCAAGGCCCGCAAGTTGGACTTCTTCCTGATGCACTGCGTCACTAGCTCGCTCTTTTGTACCGCGCTGGGCCGCCAGCCGTGGATCAGCATCGCCGACAAGGCGCGTCTGGTCGAGTGGAAGACCCGGCTCGACCTGGTTTGGTACGCTGCCTGCGGCGCGCCCGAGCTGCATGGGACAATCCTCGCCGACTACGAACCCGCTGCTAGCAAGGGTATGGACTGGCGCCAGTTGTATCACGCGCTCAATGCCCACCATGATGACGGGCATGTTGCCAAGTTTGTGCGCGCCATCAAGAATGGCGAGCAGATTGCCGCCCCGTTTGAGAACGAACCTGGTGCTGAACACACGTTCCCGGTCAGGGGGGACGCATGGCTCAAGGTGGCGCAGATATGCTTCGACTCGACCACCCCGTTTGACACCATAGAGAAGAAGTGGGTTTGGGGCGTTGGGTTTGACGCTATGTGGAATGAGGTCCCGGACTTTGTGACGGCCGATATGAATAAGTGAGGGGGGTGTTTGGCCGCGATTTGGGTTTGTGACAGCGATTCTATACTTAACAATGTTACTTTACTCCTTGAGCTACCTTACCTACCTTATCTTACTTAGGGTGTTGTGTACCCCAGAGGAATGGCCTTGTAATCGGTTACCAGAGGGAAAGGTGTTGTCTCTATTATACTACCATCATTACCATTCAGGTCAACATGTAATTTTGGCGCGGGCACGGCCAACAATAATGACAACTGTTGTGGGAAAATGAATCAAGCCCTGGGCAGCCAGGAGTCCCCATAGACCAGCCATAATACTGATGTAATCCGATGTTGTTGCTAGCAGTGATGACAGAGAACCTCCAGTCACTTCTCCTTGCTACGTACGGCATCTTGGGGACAGTGTTCAGAATCACGGATAACGCCATCTCCTGCAAAACACCTTACCTAGTCTGCAAAGCCATCCACTTCTTCGCCGTCTCTCACAAACTCTTCGATCCACCCTATAGTTATCCTTCATACAGTCAACGTTCTGCATGTGGTCCGCCTGAAAGAACAGGGAGCCGCTACACTCACAGGCTCCTCTTGGTGTCAGCAAACTTTTCGTGGTCACCGACCAGTTTCTCCTTGTACCACGGATCCTGTTTCATGCGTTTGTAATCCTCGATGCTCCTGAACACAACCTGGCTGAAGCAGTCAAAATCCGCGACGTTGGCCATCTGCGGATCGAACAAGTGAGCCATCAGCGCCCTTGTAGAGCTTTGGTTGTGGATCTGAGAACAAATATTGTATAGTCAGTTACAGTCAACACCTCAGCGCCTCGTGTAGGTTCAGGTTCAATGGGTTGCTACACACCTGGGTCCACCGCTTGATTCCATATCGGACCATGAGACCCTTGGTCAGAGGTGCGGAAATATTGACCATATGATTGCGGTATTCTTCCTCACTCATGCCCGGCTTGCGGTAGCCACAGATAGTGAGGCACAGATACTTGCCCTTTGTCGAATCGGACGGCTCCGGCAACTCGGGCTCCTTGAACGTCGTGGCCATTGTTTGGAATTGAGGGTTCATTCGGTTGGATCAGTGTGCGAGCATGATCTCACTCTCCGGTTGCGTCCATCTGTTCATGTTCCATAGAAGCTGAAAGTAAAAGTAGGACCTAGAGAGGAATCGCAGTGCTTCGGGTATCACAGGGCAGGGGTACGTACAACGGGGCATTTAGTGATAGACAATCATGCGATGTTTCTGTGAGTCGAGTGCCCCGACGTTGGCCGTTGGACGGAAGGATACCGACCGGCACATGACCGATACCAAGAGGTAAGTAGCTATAATACCTCTGCTGACTCGATGTATGACGGAATGGAGGAACGGGGCTGTCCAGCTGCAGTCCCCCGCGGAGAGACACCACACCATGGCGCCGGAACCCATCAACCCATCCATGTCGTCTCCGCCCAAGATTGGCGCGCCTGCTGTAGCGGTCGTTTCGGGTTCCGTCCTGGCAGGTTGGTGATGGCACCTCGCTGGCCGATCCAATAGTCCGTCACTAACAAGCTGGTGTATATGCCACAGGCGCCATGGCAAGCCTCTCGGCATTCGTTATCCCGGTGTTGCTCGACACCAACGTCGCCGCCGACCATATGCTCCGACAGTGGGCCCGGCTGTACCACTACGGCCACATCTACATGCCGGCCCTGTGCGTGGCCACTTGCGGCGTCTACGCATACGCCGCGATAGACCAGAAGGGAAGGGCCGGATCTCGCTATATTCTCGCTGCTCTGTCCACCATCGCCATGGTTCCGTTCACTTGGTTGATCATGGCGCCTACGAACAACACGCTGTTTCGGCTGGAGTCTTTGGGATCAACGGTCACGGACTTGACGGTTGCCCGGGGCTTGCTGGTGAAGTGGGCCTGGCTGCATGCTGTACGGTCGTTGTCACCGCTGCTTGGGGTGTACTTGGGCTTTACGGGTGTGGTGCAGGAGCTGGGGTTAAGGGTGTAGGGCCATTTGCCAAGTCCCACGTACCTAGCTTATGAACTCTACATCTAGTAATGCCGAAGGATTGTCCGGCTGTGCGACTACGGGGGTTTTCCTAATCTGTCCTATACCCGATACGTGATTCGTCCCGACTTCCCGATTCCCGACGGCCCCACCGATCCGGACCCACCCGGATCCGGGCCGTTTAATTCGGGTCATTAACAATACCACTTCTGAAGCCCCGATGGAACACTACCCGTACGGGAAAATGTACCTAGTGTAAACAACTCGGTAAAAGTCTGCAGGGCAATTGCTGCATGAACATGCGCGGGAAACCCTTCCGGACGTTTGTCGCCCGCACACCACTGCTGATGATCCTTGTTGATAGCCCTGGTTATAGATACAACATAACCATGCAAAAGCCACGTGCAACCGGGCAAGACCCTGGCTCATGTTGGGGTGTCACAGTTGGCAACATCAGGTACATCGCATAGGTTGTAAGCTTTCTCGGTGGTAGTTTCGTGATGGGATGCGCGATGTAACTACATGTAGTAGGTACCTAGGTAGGTATGTACAAGTACAGCATGCAATAGAGGGTCGCATGGAGTGTCTAAACGTGAACGATACCTTATCTAGAACTAGCTGGGCAGCATCTAGTGCGGGAGAGAGGAGATCCTCCTAGTTGAAACAACTCGTCAAAAAGTCGATGTGCATTAGTCCACGGTTAACCAGGCAACTGACCCTTGCCACGCGACGATCCAATGCCAAACCACTTTTTGACGCCCCCCTTCATCTCAAACCCCACCATCCCATCCTCGGCCAGTTTGCAGAGCACCTCATGCATGAAAGGCTCCAAGACCAGCTGTCTCACCCCGTCGTCCATGTTCTCTCCGTACACGGCCGAGACCAGCTCCTGGACCGTCAGTCTGCCCTTCATGCCGCCACCACCACCACGGCCGCCGTCATTCGCGGCCTGCAGCGCTTGCAGCGCCTGTCGCTCACGGCGGAGTTTCATGGCCAGCTCACCCTCAATCTTAGCCTTCAGATCAGCAATGACGGCGCCGTGAGCGGGGTATCCCTTGACACAACCGTACGACTGCATCAGGCGCAGCGTGGCCATCCAGGTGCGGAGGTGCTCGACGGCGGCGGTGCCGTGGCCCAGCACGTTGTCGCCTGTGAACATGGCTTGCTCCTCCTCAAGCACGAAGCACATGTGGTCGTGCGAGTGACCCGGGGCGTGCACCGCGCGGACGGTGGCGCCCTCGACCTTGAAGATCTGGCCGTCGACGATGGGCTGCTGAACCCTGCTTGGCGTGTGCTTGAAGATGGCCCCCGCAAGGTGCGGGTACAGCCGAATCAGATCTGGCACGCCGCCTGTGTGGTCGCCGTGCCAGTGCGTGAGTAGTACGTGCGTGAGTGAGAGGCCTTCGTTTGACAAGGTGTGTGATATCAGGTCGGCCCAGTCTGGGATGCCCTGGCCCGTGTCGATGATGAGGCGCTTAGTTCCTGTGCCGACGATATATGTGTTTGTCCCCTGAAGGGTGAACTAGTAGCATTCAAGTCAGACAAACTGAATCGCTACAGATCTAGGAACTTGACGCTGGCAGAACCACGCTCACCTTCCCGGGGTTCTGTCCGAGCACCCGGATCACCCGTGGGCTAATCTGCTCCACGTCCAGTAACGGCGGTAGGCGTGTCTGCTGGGTCTCTAGATAGTCCTCGAAGGCGCAAATATTCAACGCCTTGTTGATCTGGCGGTAGCCTCCTACGCCGGGTGCCATGTTGAACAAGCTCCAGTCCGATTTTGTCTCTCCAAAGAAAAAAGCCTTCATCCCAGCTGGCGACGCGTTCTGTCTTGTGGGATGGGCATGGTTGAAATGCAGCCCGGAGCACCTACGGCCCGATAAGTAAGTGGAACCACCGTCGGGGTCCATCTCTAGCCTTGGGATAGCCGGACAGGGAAAGCTGACTGGTTCGCCATGATGACCTCCCACCAGGGGTAACTACTGTAGGTACCTTGCCGAAGGTAGGTAGGTACCTATCGAGCCGAAACAATATGAACCGATGGTTGGGATAGGTGGTAGTGAGCGCCCTGTCTGCGGACCCGGTGAATGCCCACTCCGATCGGACAACGCATATGGGCAACAGTCCCCCCCGGGGAGACCAGTGCGTAGATCCCAAAGCCCCGATCGGACCGCGGTTGGCTCTTGAGCACCGAAACAGTAAGCACACACACCTCTGAGCCGAGAGCGCTTCGTCGGCAGGGAGGAGTGGTACTAATAAGGTACACATCATCATACACGGAATGGCCTCCACCGGTTCTAGAACCTACATCTTCTGAGGGATTCTGTTCAGCAAAGCCAATACTGACTGTCATCGAACCCCAAGGCACCGGATCAAGTTATCATGGCTGCCAATACGGAATGGGTTGGGAGTCCTAGCCCACCCGAGCTGTCAACAACAGCCCCGTCGACGACCTCCGACTCCTTTGTGGAGCCTAGCGTCATGAAGATTGGTTACTTTGGCAATGAATTCCCCCATGACGACCTGAAAGACCTCTTCCGTCGTCTTTGGAATCATAGCAAAGACAGACAGCATCGGTTGCTGGCCGCATTCATCCATGAGGCGACCTTGGCCGTTCGAGAAGAAGTCCGGCTACTGCCATCGGCACTGAGAGCCTTGGTCCCCCCGTTTGAGACCATTCTTAACCTCGCCGACCATCCCGAGCTGCGAAGCGGGCCTTTAGGAGGTGCTGTCGATGGGTTGCTTCTCTGTGCAGTCCAGCTGGCGGCATTTATCGGGTAAGCACCGTACTCGGCCCGGGTCAAGTCAAGCTCAGGGGGTACATAAGGAACACCTTCTAATTTGTCACTTGCGCCGCACTGCAGCTACCATGAAGATGATGCCAGGGACGGATTCACCTTCGGCAACTCGGATGCTTGCCTCACTGGCATCGGCACGGGCCTGTTGTCAGCGGCTGCCGTGTCGTTATCCGAGACGCTAGCGGACGTGCCGCTGGTTGGTGCCGAGGCGGTCCGCACCGCCTTCCGACTTGGCGTTCTCGTTGACGAAGTCTCGCGGACCTTGCAGCCTCGCGCAGCCGACGGTGGGCGCGGTGATAGCTGGGCATACGTGGTGCCAGACACTGCGGCCGCAGAGATTCAACGCGAGCTTGATGCCGTACACAGGGCCGAGAACATTTCCGAGCCAAACAAGATATTCATCAGCGCCATCGGCCGCAGCTCGGTGACCATCAGCGGTCCGCCGGCACGACTAAAGCACCTCTTCCACGTATCCGACTTTTTCCGCGACAGGACGCATGTCGCTTTGCCCGTGTACGGGGGTCTCTGCCATGCCAAACACGTCTACAACGAGGAGCATGTCGAGAGGATTGTCCAGACCAGCCTGCTTGATGCGCTCTTCAAGGTGCGGGTGCCCGTCTTCCCGACCGGCAGCTCAAGACCGTTCTCGGGCAAGACCGCCACCGGCCTGTTCCGCAATATCGTGAGGGAACTTCTTACCCAGACCATCCAGTGGGACATGGTTATCCACGGCGTGAAACAACACGCCAAGGACATGGCAGCGTCCGAGTACCTGGTCTTCACGATCCGCACTTCCTTGCCGGGCCGCGAGCTCGTCGACGCCTTGAATGCTGACTCGCCTGGGTCGGTAGCGAAAGTCAAGGACCTTGTGCCGTGGATTACCAAGCCAGAAACCGTCCCGCGAGGCCCGAGGGGCACCCAGCAGGCCAAGATTGCCGTCGTGGGCATGGCCTGCCGCATGCCTGGAGGCGCAACCGACACGGAGAAGTTCTGGAACATACTGAGCCAAGGCCTCGACGTGCACAGGAAGATCCCAGCTGACCGCTTTGACGTTGAGACGCACAGTGATCCGACAGGCAAGCGGATGAACACGAGCATCACTCCGTACGGCTGCTTTATCGATGAGCCCGGTCTCTTCGATGCGCCCTTCTTCAATATGTCTCCGCGGGAGGCACTGCAGACGGACCCCATGCAGAGGCTGGCCATTGTGACTGCGTACGAGGCGCTTGAGCGGGCTGGTTACGTTGCGAACCGTACGCCTGCTGTAGACCTCCACCGGATCGGCACCTTTTATGCTCAGGCTAGCGACGACTACCGCGAGGTCAACACAGCCCAGGAGATTGGGACGTACTTTATCACGGGAGGGTGCCGTGCCTTTGGGCCCGGGCGCATCAACTACTTCTTCAAGTTCTCTGGTCCGAGCTACAGCATCGATACAGCGTGCTCGTCAGGCCTGGCCACAATACATGTAAGTGAGAACAAAGCCGAACACAACTTGAGCCAAACATGGGCGACTTACTGACAGTCTCAATCCCTGGTTTCTAGATTGCATGCAACTCGCTTTGGAACGGCGACATAGATATGGCAGTGGCGGGTGGCATGAACGTGCTCACCAACTCGGACGCCTTCGCTGGACTGGGCCAGGGCCATTTCCTGTCCAAGACGCCCAACGCCTGCAAGACATGGGACTGCGAGGCTGACGGATATTGTCGTGCCGACGGCGTGGCCTCGGTGGTTCTGAAACGACTGGAAGATGCCGAAGCAGACAACGACAACATCCTCGGCGTCATCCTCGCCGCGGGGACGAACCACTCGGCCGAGGCCGTATCCATCACCCACCCGCACGCAGGCCACCAAGCAGATTTGACAAGGCAGATCCTGGCGCAAGCCGGGGTTGATCCTCTTGACGTGAGCTACGTGGAGATGCACGGGACGGGCACGCAGGCTGGCGACGCGCAGGAAATCCAGTCCGTCACCGACGTGTTTGCACCCCTGACCGGGGCTCGACGACAGAGTCCCAAGCCGCCGCTGCATATCGGTGCCGTCAAGTCCAACGTTGGGCACGGCGAGGCCGTGGCGGGCACAACGGCGCTGCTCAAGGTGCTCCTCATGTTTGACAAGCAGGCCATCCCGCCGCACGTGGGCATCAAGACGGCCATCAACCCCGGGTTTCCCAAGGATCTTGACAAGCGAAGGCTGTATATTCCGTACGAAAAGACGCCCTGGCCTCGGGTTGCAGGCAAGAAACGCATTGCGGTTGTGAACAACTTCAGTGCTGCTGGTGGAAATACAAGTTTGGTGATCGAGGAGCCTCCGGAGCGGACGGCTACTACTACTACTATTACTAACAGCGATGCTGTGATGGCTGACCCTCGCTCAACTCATACCATCGCCGTGTCAGCCAAGAGCAAGGTGTCGCTGAAAGGCAACCTCGAACGCCTGATTGCGTACCTCGAGGCCAACCCTGACGTCTCGCTGCCAGACCTCGCGTACACGACCACCGCCCGGCGCCACCACCACAACCACCGCGTTGCCGTGGCCACATCCGATGTGTCCCACCTCAAGAAGCAGCTAAGAACCTTCCTCGAGACCGCCGACAGCCACAAGCCCATCCCGCCTCAGGGGCCTCCATCCGTCATTTTCGCCTTCACAGGCCAGGGAGCATCCCACCGGTCCATGGACCTCGCCCTCTTCCGCGACCTACCCCCCTTCCGGTCCAAGCTCCTACATCTCGACTCGCTCTGTCAGGCGCAGGGGTTCCCGTCCATCATCCCGGCCATCGACGGCAGTTTCCCCAGGGACCACGCACACTCGCCGACCGTGACACAGCTCGCCCTTGTTTGCGTCGAGATGGCGCTGGCTTGGTATTGGGAATCCCTAGGCGTGAGGCCAGACGTGGTCATTGGCCACAGTCTGGGCGAGTATGCCGCGCTGCATGTGGCTGGGGTTTTGTCGGCTGCGGACGCCATTTTGCTTGTGGGCCGGCGGGCGCGCATGCTCGAGAGGAAGTGCCAGGCTGGTAGTCACAGGATGCTGGCGGTAAGGGCTTCGCTCGGTCATGTCCATGCCCATGCGAACGGCAAGCCGTTCGAGGTTGCGTGCATCAACGGGCCGCAGGACACGGTGCTCAGCGGCACTGTTGACGAGATCAACGCCCTGGCGGTTGAGTTGGAAGGGGCTGGGTTTAAGTGCTTTCCCCTGGACGTGGCGTTTGCTTTCCACTCGGCACAGACGGATCCCATTCTCGACGAGCTGGAAGATACGGCTCAGCGGGAAGTCTTGTTCCAGCCGCTTCGCCTGCCCCTCGTCTCGCCTCTGCTAGGTAAGGTTGTTTTCGACAACAAGACGCTCAACGCCAACTATGTCCGGCGGGCGACGAGGGAGACTGTTGACTTCTTAGCCGCTGTCGAGGCCGCACGTGCTCTCTCGACGGTAGACGAATCCATGGCGTGGATCGAGATCGGCCCGCATCCCGTGTGCATGGGCTTTGCACGGTCCATCATGCCCTCGCTCTCTACGGCAGTGCCCTCGTTGCGCCGTGGCGAGGACGACTGGCGGACACTGGTGGCCAGTCTGGGCGCGGTGCACTCGGCCGGCATCCAGGTGAGCTGGGACGAGTTCCACCGTCCCTTCGAGCGCGGCTGCGGCCTGCGGCTGCTGGACCTGCCCACGTACGCCTGGAACGACAAGACGCACTGGATCCAGTATAAGGGTGATTGGGCGCTTACCAAGGGCAATACCTTCTACGACGCTGAGAAGAAGGCTGCGGTGGCACCGGTGACAGCGGTGGGAATCAATCCCCTGGCTGTGCCTCAATCCAGCCTGCGAACCTCTCTGATTCACCGCGTGGTCGGGGAGACTTTCTCCGGCCCAGCGGGGCGGGTTGTAGTGCAGTCGGATCTGATGCAACCGGACTTCCTGGCCGCCGTCCGCGGTCATGAGATGAATGGAGCGGGTGTGGCGACGTCGGTAAGCAGTAACCCCCCCCAACCCCTAATCCCATCCCCCCCTGCCCGGGGTACATGTCTGAAACAAGTAGGGTACTAACATGATCCAACAGTCTATCCACGCAGACGTTGCCTTCACCCTTGGCAAGTACCTCTTCTACAAGCTAAGACCAGAGGAGAAGAAGAAGTGCATCGTCCGGGATATGAGCATCGAGAATCTCGTCGTGCGTGAGGGCTTAGTCGCGCAGAAGAACACCAACGTGCCCCAGCTGATCCAGATCTCCATCACGACGGACGACATTGGCTCCGGCATCGCCCAGCTTGCGTGGCACAACGTCACGCAGGACGGTTGCTCGCTAGCCGACGACGAACCCTTCGCAACAGCCCAGATAATCTACGGCAGCGCCGACGCCTGGCTATCAAGCTGGGTGCCCATGCAGCACCTCGTTCACGGTCGCATCGAGACCCTATCTCAACTCGCCGACCAGGGCCGCGCAAACCGCTTCTCGCACAACATGGCATACCTCCTATTCGCCAACAACCTGGTCAACTACGCCGACAAGTACCGCGGCATGCAGTCGGTGGTGCTAGACGGGCTTGAGGGCTACGCCGAGGTGACGCTCAAGTCCGAGCCGGGTGACGGCGTGTGGACGGTGCCGCCCTTCTTTATCGACAGCGTCTTCCACCTCGCGGGCTTCGTCATGAACGTGTCAGACGCCGTCGACACCCGGGCCAACTTCTGCGTCACGCCCGGCTGGGGCTCGCTGCGCCTCGCCCGCCCGCTTATCCCCGGCGGCCGGTACCGCTCGTACGTGAAAATGATACCCACGGCTGAGGACCCGAGCGTTTATCTCGGAGACGTCTACGTGCTGCAGGAGGATGAAATTGTGGGCGTCATGCACGCCATCAAGTTCCGCCGCTACCCGCGCGTGCTGCTCAACCGCTTCTTTTCCCCGGCCGATGTCAAGAACAGCTCCAAGTCACGCCACGGCCACGCGCCAGCTACGGCGCATGTTCCTGCGACTGCCGCAGCTCTCAGGCCAAAGCATACCCCTGAGTCGCCGGTAGTAGTATCAAATGTGCCCTCCTCGACACCTGCTCAGCCACCAGCACAGGCAGCTTCTGCGCCGCAGTCCAAGCCCAAGGCCGTCGAGGTCAAAGAACTCGCCTCCTCCGAGACTGCCAACAGCACCGCAGCCAAGGCCCTGGCGCTCGTGGCAGCCGAGGCGGCGCTCGAGCTGTCCGATCTCCACGACGACGCCAGCTTTGCCAGCATCGGCGTTGACAGCCTAATGAGCCTGGTCATTGCTGAGAAGCTGCGCGAGCAGCTGAATATTACCGTTAGCGGTAGTCTGTTCTTGGAGTATCCGACGGTCGGAGATCTACGGGCGTGGCTGGTGGAGTACTATAATTAAAGATTTAAGGGGTGTCAATATTGACCTTGACAGTTACCAGTTTTTTTTTTTTCGTCTGTCTTTCGTTTAAGACCCTACTCTTCTTATGCTTGACTCTGTCTGGTTTCTTGTCTTGTTTCACTTCGCTCTGTGTCGCATATGCTCTCTCCTCCAGCAGTCCAGCTGTCTATCGGTATCCCCCCGTCCTCTATGTGGCCGTCAGGACTGGACTTGGGTAGACCGTTAAGATTTCTTTAGTAATAGAGATGAGACGACATCGTTAATAGTGGTGCTTGCGAACGAAAAGTGAGACAACTTATCAAGAGGGCATCTAGGACGTTCTGCCGCCGCCTGCGCAGTTCCAAGCAGTAGGTACCTACGTACGTACGGAGTATCATTTTGGATTTATGTCAAGCGTAAAAAGGTTGGCCGTTCTGAACGACCGAATAAGGACTGGTAAGCGAGTGCGAGTGCGAAGCTTGGCCGCCTTGGCGATGCTCGCGGCTCACTTGCTGACGACATCACCCTTGAGTCTGGGTCGCGAGTAAAATGTGCGACAAGAAAACATCAAGCAATTCATGGCATTCCACGCCAAATATGCCGCATTTGAGATGTCTTGTGCTAACCTCCAAATCATGGAAATTAAGGGGGACACGTATGCTTTCCTTGGCTGCCATTATGTATGCCCCAACCGTCCAACCGGGGGCAGCTCGCCCTTCAGCGTCTCAAACCTGTGCTAGTATATAAGTTTGTTGTACGCACCTGTGACCCGTTTATACCTCAGCAAAGTCAACTGTGTCAATCATCAAAGTTGCTCCTCGAGTCCTACGTCCTTTCCTCGCAGCCTCACCCTCACCCTCACCCCCTGACTCTCACCAACCGACCTGCTCCCGACCTACAAGCAGCCTGTGATGTCCTCTGAATCCGATTCCCTCCCACCAGGAGTCCCGCCCCTGCCACCATACGTGGTAGTCTTTGGGCCCAGAGCAAACTGCACACTCGAGATATGTCCCGTGGAGATCTCCGTGTACGGTTACCGACCGTCCCTTGCCGCCAACGTCTCCTTCATCGCGCTGTTCACAGTCTCGGCCTTGATCCATACCTACCTCGGCATTCGGTGGAAGCAATGGTGGTACATGGCATGTATGAACATTGGTGCTGTGAACGCTGTTATTGGCTATGCAGGGAGGGTTATGATGTGGTATAACCCGTTTAATTTTGCTGCGTTTATGATGCAGATTAGTGAGTTTCTTTGCTTTTTTAGCTGCTTTCTCACTCCTATCATGGTCGCTGGCTATGTTGCTGTCACTGTTGTGCCGCTCATATTTCTCGCTTCTTCCTGTGCTGTATTCCCTATCTCTCTCGTTTGATGGTGTTGATGTTTTCGGAAATAACTAGATCTTGCTATTTACTAACAGCATCCAGTTTGCATCTCAACAGGACCGGTCTACTACTGTGCTGCCATCTACATCACCCTTGCTCTTTCGTATGTCCTACATTACTGACTACCCATGTTCCTGTCCGAACTCCACATGTGGATGGGAGCATGTTCATACGAATCGCTAACGCACGTCATATTACCCAGCATCAACTACTTCGCCCCGGACCTGTCCCGCTTCAAACCCTCACTATTCTACTACATCTTCATTACCTGTGATATTATCTCCTTGATTCTCCAAGCAGCCGGCGGCGGGCTGTCCACATCTACATCCGGCCAGAGCCAGATGGGCGTCGACCTTGCGCTGGCTGGACTAAGTTTCCAGGTCTTCACCATGCTTGTCTTTTGCTTCTTCTTCGCCGACTACCTGATTCGATATTTCCGGTCTGGGCGGTGGAAAAACAGGGCTCACGATGGATCATCAACCCGACTGAAGCTCTTTTTTAGCTTCATGGTATTGGCCATCTTGCTGATTCTTGCGCGCTGCGCGTACCGATTGGCCGAGCTGCATGAGGGGTATAGATCCGAGGGGCTGATCCGTGACGAAGGGTTGTTCATTGCATTGGAAGGAGTGTGAGTATCTTCAGCTACGCTTATTGCTTGTGGAAGAGAGACTGAATAAGTGATCTCGAAACAGTATGGTTCTCGCTTCTGTGTATTGCCTTATGGTTGGACACCCGGGCTTGGTCTTCAAAGCAAAGAAGGACTCGGCATCGGGGGATCCTAGTAGCGAGCAGGAGCTCCAAGAATATCCTGGTCGATAAGAGCCGCACGAGAGTTTGCACTGGGCTCAATTGGAGAAGCAGGAGATGGATGCACGAAGCAGCGGGGCATATGGGCAGAGTATGGAAGCAACCTGGCCTCGGGCTTAATCTAATTGGAAGTCCAGTCTGCTTTATAAATGTACTAGTAGTCTCTAAGAGAAGGCAAAAGACACGGATACATGATGCTCACTCGCTCAGACTGCGCAAGTCGCGGGTCTAGTAGCAGCCGGCGAGGCAAACGCCGCCTTTGGAAAGTCGAGCAGCGCAAGGAGCTCCGGGTCTCCAGCGAATCGACTCTCCAGCAGCGTGCATATGGCAGGGCCCTCGTATCGTGCGCGGCGGTATATCCACCACTGCTCTGGCGACCAGACCTTTGCGTAGAAGTACGCCAAGAGCAAAAGAGCGCACGAGTCCCTGTTAAACAGCAAGTCGAGGAATCGCTCATCAAAGCTGCCAAGGAACGGCAAGAACTTCCCCATCTGCATACGCCCGCACTCCAGGGGCATGACTCGGGCGAGGGCTGTGGCCGGTCCATGGTACGGATTGGTCTCGACGGTGGAGGTTTCGTCCAGTCGGCAAAGCCACACCAGCTTGCGAGGAAGACCCGGGAGCTTGGGTTCCTCCTGGCCAACGCTGTTGGGGTACTCTAGTGACGAGAACATGCCGGCGAGAATGCTGCAGAAGATGCTATCAGGCCTGGAGGGATTTGCAAGCCGGTGGACGACTGTCTTTCGGGTGACTACACCCAGCCAGCTGAGGCTTTGGGCGGATGATGGAGTGAGCGGCCAAGGCTGCACAGGAGAGATTTCCCGAGTATCGGAGCATGCAGCCATACCGAGCATCATGGCAGCCCCCCATAGGGCATCCTTCTCTAGTGAATTTTGGGGGGGTGGAGAGAGTCTGGCGTTGAACAGGGAAATACCGTTGACAAAGTGAAAGGAAAGGGCGACAGCGTCCTGGCTATCCATTTGCCCGTCATTGTCCATGCTGTAGAGGCGAACTACAGCAAGGATCGTATGCATGAACCAGGGGTGCTGGTTAAGGTAGGTAATGTTAGCCCCCAAGCAAATTGTAAGATACTAAGATGCAAGAGTTGAAACTAACCACATGCGCTAGGTTCACCATGAGATTCTGGAAGGCAAGGGCCCTAGCCTCGGGATGGTTGGTAGCTATCGGTATCCGCCGGAACTTGGCAAGCAGCTCCATGTCGGTTGGACGGATCTGATACACCCGCCCCTTTTGCGCGAGTGGCAGTGTGATTGGTGGTTGAGTAACAGGTCGGGGTAGGTACCCAGTGTCGACCTTGAAGGTCTTAACAAAGGGCAGCTCCATTACGGAGAGCCCAGGCTTGTAACAGCACGCGACACCAAAAGCAGCACATCGTTTACACTCTGGTTTTGACTCGTCACACTGCTCACAAGGTCAGCTATCGTGATTGATGAAAAGCAGGAAGGCCAGGAACAGAAATGGGGAGTCTGGGGGTTCTGGTACCTTGACCCTGCGCAGTTTGCAATTGGCACAGCCTAATCTCGACTTGCGGTGCACTCTTCGCGATCGGCCGGACGATGTCGAGTCTGTACGAGACATGTCGAGTACAAATGCCGAGGTGCGACGGCCAGTTGTGGGAGTCAGGGCCGTTGACTGTGACATTGTTCTGACCCGAGTTCGTTTACCTTTTTGAGTTCGATCTGCGTTGGAAGATAAGGTACCAAAGGTAAGGTAGGTAACGATGTAATCAATATGGGCTTAAGACCGAAGGAAGGACGGGAGGAATGTGTATTCGCGGTACGAGTTACGCCTGGCTTGACTCGGAGTTTGACCCGAGACGTGATAGATTGCAATCATTAAGTTGTCTACACTCTAAGGGCCTACACGTGTAGTAAGCAGAAGGATCACCGTCATGTTGAAAGACACTAACCCCAATTCGTATTCCGCATCGGGTATAGCGACGTTATACCGGGTCGGCTCTTTCAAGGGTTGACTCAGGGTTATCTAAGGGTTCCGTAAATGGACCCGCACGCTAACCCCGATTCGCATTCCGCCTCGGGAGAGAGTAACCTCGTCTCGCATTCACAGTCCACAACTTCACAACCACGAAACATCAACCAGATGATATTGACTCGCCTCTCGCTGGAGGTTAGCTTTCCTGCTTCCTTCTGCTTCTATTCACTCGGCATTAATTCTGTAGACTCTCCTAAGTCCGTCCCTACCCCTTACTTCCGTTCATCACCTCATCGTCATGGCCCGTTCATCAAGGATATATGATCATTTCGATCCCCCGTTACTTCCTTCTTGCGATGCTCCAAGGGGCAAGCAGTCAACTCGACTATCACAAACCTTTACCTATCTTACACTCTGACAGCCTACTTATCCCACACGCAACCAAATCCCGATCGTCTTCAAACCACTTCCTCGACTCAGTCAATCCTCCCTCAACATCACAATGACCAGCTCATCGCAGAGCATTCCCGCCTCCATGAAAGCCTGGGTGGCCGAAGCCCCAGGTGCCGGAGCGGTCATTAAACAGGTTCCCACGCCCGAAGTCCAGCCCGGCACCGTCGTCGCCAAGGTCTTGAGCACCTTCATCTACCAATCCCGGCGCGACACCCTGAAAGCAACCGGCAAGGCTCCCTATTTCACCAACCCCTACCCATACATCCCCGGCAGCCATGCCGTGGTGCGTGTTGCCGCGACCGGCCCCGACACGACGGCCTTTTCGGTCGGCCAGCTCGCCATAGTCGACATCTTCGTCACCGCTCGTGACGATCGCACCGGAGTGCAAATTCTCTGGGGCACCTTTGACGGCGGCAGCCCTGCGTCCAAAAAATTCGCCGCCGACAACTGGCGGAACGGCCATTACGCCGAGTACGTCCGCGTCCCGCTGGAGAACATCCACCCGCTGGACGAAGCCCGTCTCTGCGGCAGTCCGTCCGCGGGCGGGTTGGGCTATAGCATTCCCGAGCTGGTCGTGATTCCTTCCCTCGCCGTGATCGAGGCTGGATATCGGCGCGTCAACCTGCGGGCGGGAGAAACCGTGGTCATCTCGCCCGCGACGGGCCACTACAGCGTGGCCGCCGTCGCGCTGGCAGATGCTATTGGTGCAAATATCATTGCCCTGAGCCGCAACGGCGAGCGCCTGCAGAAGATCAAGGAATTTTTCCCGAGGATCAAGACGCTGCAGCCCACCGGCGACGTCAAGCAAGACACGGAGGCCATCAAGAAGCTCGCGAATGGACCCGTGGATGTTGTGGCTGATGTCTCGTCGCCTGCCATGGTTGGTTCGACGCATATTGCCAGCTGCATGGCTGCTGTGAAGAATTATGGCCGCATCTGCCTCCTGGGCGGCCGGGGGGACCCGAGCTTGCCGATTTCGTACAGGGATGTTGTGTTCCGCAACCTGAAGATTGAAGGTTCGTACATGTTCCAGTGGGAGGACGTGAGGAGCGTTATCAAGATGGTCGAAACAGGCGTGTTGAAGCTTGGAAAGGACTCGATTTTCCCGGTTGTCGCAGAGTTCTCGATCGACAACCTGGAACAGGCGGTGGCCAAGATCGAGACGGATCCGGGTCTGGGTAACCTCGTGGTGCTTAACCCTTAGGACTCGGTTGGCACGCTGTCGTTCTCGTCTTGCATCCCTGAACAGAGCCCACCAGGAAGAGCCTTCAGATGTGGGTGTTTGACTTCAAGGAACACGATCATGTATCTAGTCGCTCGCTTTTCCCCCAAAGGTACTTCTCAAGCTCAGAATCTAGCATTTCCAGTTCGCGTTAGTTTCATACAAGCTTGGCGCTTCAACCTTGATGGTCATTTAGTGGCAAGAGATATCACGTCTAGTCCATCCGCCGAGAAGGCATGGGATCATGGTTTCCAAGTGATATCACCAATATCAACAGTATAGGAATTCCAGACAGAGACTGCAGGTGCAGTATTGACGGGCTTAGAGTCCCAATATCCTGTACTAAGTACCCAAGGCATACCGTCAGTATTACCAGACTTCTGCCAGGACTCGATATGGGACTTGACTCACTTGAGTGACATGAACCTCTCTTGAATCGGATGTTGCGGCACCAACAGTCGGTGTCAGTACTCAGAAAGAATTATCTAAACTTTAGCAACAATGAACATCTCAACTACTGGGCAGTTAACCAAGTGACAACAGTAGGTGGAGAAAATACCTGGTATCCTAGATACGAATGGTTCGAACATATATATACAGCGAGAAGCTTATATAGTAGTAGGCACACTATATACCACAGACAGAGCAAGTAGCCATCGCCAACAGTTCCACACCTAGTTAACACACGCTTATGTCGGCTTCCAGTTGGCGTCTGCAATCTCGTAGAAAGCAGGATCGAAAGCGGGAGCGACTTTCACATGTTAGCATTTCCATAGTCCTTATTGAAGTGGAAAGACACAAACTCACCAGTCGTTCCAACAAGCGTCCAATCCCCCGTGCTCTTACAGCTCTGCCACTCCCACGAGCCAATCACCACAGCAGGCTGCTGGCTCTTGAAGACATCCGGGCCGAGCACCACATTGCGGACACCCGTCCCATTGTTGTGCGAGAGGAACATCTTGAGGGGCGCGCCAGCATAGTAGTGCCAGACCTCGGCGGCGTCGATGCGGTGCCAGAGCGACTGGCCCGCCGAGCCCTCGAGCAGATAGTAAATGGCCGTGCTGGCGGAGCGGGTGCCGTTGCCGGTGTTGATCATGAGGGGATCCCGGAAGATCTCCTTGAAGTAGCCCTTTTCCGGGTTCGGGGCAAGGCCGAGCTGTGCGACGACTTCCTGCGCTGAGCGCTTTTCGACGGGCTTGGATGCGATCGCGCCCTGGACCAGGCTGCTGAGCAGCGCCAGGGGCAGCAGGCAGGACAGGAGCGTTATTTTGGCCATTGTCGTCCGGTTGATGGGAACGCGGAATCGTTCGAGACGGATGTTATGATTGACGATGGATCGCGTAGAAAAGCCCTAACACTCAACTTGCGCGCGGTGTGGTGCTTTTGTAGTGTACTTGTACCTGACCCAACGTGATTGCGCGCCCTGTTGGCCGCCCCTGTCGGCTTAGCGCTCCCATGTTCGCCGAGTCAGCGGTCTTCCCGTGCGCCGCTGGTCCAGGACGGGAATTGTCAACCGAGCGCAATGCAATAACTGCTCATATTTACCACTCCACTACGCTCCATTTGCATTAGCTGAAGATCGAACTAACTAACCTGTTGCAAGGGGCGCTCTTCCGAGAGAATTTATCCCCTTTCCAAGAAGGGCAACGTGTGGTCCATGGCTGTGGGGAATACCCCTCATAAAGAGGCGTGCCACCGCTATGCAGGAAGAGGCTTGGGAATGGGTGGGGAAATATCCGTATTGCGAGCAGCTTTGTCATCAAGGTTTCCTGCCACCAGTTCGACCAGCTGCATTCATCATGAGCGGGAAACAGTCGGCGAGGGAGCAGAAGGCAAGGCCGATTCAACTGCCCTCCCTAAGAGGCGGTAGGGCCAAGCTTTAATAGTAAGTAAAAATGCGCATGCAGATGCATCCCAAGGCCTTTTGTGATACCACTTGTTGACACGGAGCGAAGTGCTACCTCGTACCGGCGACCGAGGCCCCTCCCGCCTGGGAGATTCCGGTACCCGCCACCCGAGGGTAACGTTACGGTGCAACGCAGCCATCAGAATGGATTTACGAAGGTCCCGGCAGCGCGAGGCCGTCGCATACGCCAATCATGTCCCCCTCGGAGCACACGTCCGTACGCTGTATTACCGTAAAAAAGTGGTGCAACCGCCTTCGACGGACCGAGTGCTCAGTTTTCCTGCTGCAGCTGGAACGAAGGGGAATGAACAGGAATGATGATTGCTGTGGCCTTGCCGGCATAAATGGCAAACTTGAAGTGGGAAGGAGCGACCAAACTGCCTAGAGTTAGCGTATTCCGTCGCTCAGCACCACTGCCCGCACCTTTTCTTCCAGTTTGCACTCGACAGTCAAGCCAAACCTGCACGTTTATTCAATCCAAGCCAAGCCAAAAATCCCACCACGCAGTCAGACCACGATGACGTCCAATCGCACAGCCCAAGAAGTGATCAAAGAGCTGAACCTCGTCCCGCACCCAGAGAAAGGCTATTTCATCGAGACCTTCCGCGATGAAGCAAAGTCCTCCAGCGAGGGCAAGGAGCGCTCCAACCTCACATGCATCTATTACCTCCTGGAGGGCGAAGCCGGCATGTCGCACTGGCACCGCGTGCTCGACGCCGTCGAGGTATGGCATCACTACGCCGGCGCGCCATTGCAGCTTTCTCTGTCGTGGGATGACGGAAAACCCGTGAGAAATGTGATCCTGGGGAAGGATCTCTGGAAGGGAGAGCGCCCTGCCGTCGTGGTCCAGAGAGGCGAATGGCAGCACGCCCAGAGCCTGGGCGACTGGACCCTGGTGGGCTGCTCCGTGGCACCCGCGTTCACTTTTGAGGGGTTCGAAATGGCCAAGCCAGGGTGGGAGCCGAGAGGGGCAGGATCGTCACAGTGATGGATGGATCATGGCGGGGCTTGTTTATTGGAGGGTTATTGGGGGATGCCTGTCGCCGGCCTGGTGGGAACACAAGAGCCGCGGCGCGGCATTTTTGATCCCCGGGCTAGGCGGGCCTGCTGCGCCGCCGGGCGAATTGCCACTCCGGGGTAGTACTGCGCTTAAACGAGTGGTGTGTTGTGCGACGAAGTCGAGGACGTGTGCAAGCGATCGCTTGTTTTCAGTGTATGGGACATTCCTTTCTTGGACGAAGAGTCAAACCTGCAATTGACGATCGGATCAACCTTTTTCAGTATCCAATGTGATATAGTACCATACTTACTGTGGTACCCGTAACATCAAGCCACAATCGATATTTCCTGCGGCGGGATCGACTCCTGGAGGCAGCCATCGGGAAGGTGAGCGATGATCCGGTAGGCGCCCAAGGCACTAAGCCACATTTGGTAGCGCTATCTTTCAGGGGCTGGGTTATCACCTAATGATAACCCGGGAATACTAGTGTAAAAACCGACAAATGCACATGCAACGATTGAAGGCAAGCGCGAGGCATGCCGGCACTCCCAATCGTCAATTGCCAGTTGAATTTCGGGTCGAATTTGCCTATCTCAAATCATTGCCGTCGCACTGCGTGCACCACACCACACATCTGCACAATCGCTGGCACATCCTATTTTTACCGCCCAGTTTCCCGGTCGAGTGGCATTGCAGACATTGGATGCACGAGATCGACGGATTTGTTTCCCTTGCCTCGATGGCCAGCCAATTTTCCATCCTGCGCCCATGCCATTTTACAAGCCTCGACCCCAACTGATGCTGGCAAGAAGCTTTCTCGTCCTGCACCATGCCCTAATTCGTTAGCAGCAAGTCCTTGCGCGTCTCCCCTCCACAGATGTGATAGCCTCATCCTTTTTGGCGCTCTTGGCTCGGTGCCGGCCCTGCACTGCACATCTGCATCATGGCAGACAATGGACTCTACGAGCTTCGGGAAGACCTGCGCATGTCCATGATCATCGCCGCCTTCACGGGAATCTCATGGTACATTGGCGCCGAGATCAACACGACTCTGTTTTTGCTCTTCAAGCGCCGTCGCGGCCTGTATTTTTGGTCCGCCGCGCTCTGCTCGTGGGGCGTCGTTTTGCAACCCCTCTTCATCATCCTCGCCGACTATGGAATATGGACCAACCTCAGCGGGTCCATCACCATGATCTACCTGACATGGTTCATCATGGTGGTTCCGCAGAGCTGGCTGCTGTATTCGCGCCTGCACTTGATCGCTCAGTACGGAACGATGCTGAGCTGGATCAAGTTCATCCTGATCTTCACTTCGATCGTCTTTTCCGTGCCCACCATTGTCATGGGCACCATTGCTGTGAGCAGATTTCCATTTGGTCTGTCCGTGCTGGGATCAGCTACTGACGCGAGGTCGGAAATGTACAGCAAGCGACAAGCATCAACCCCGACTTGTTCCGCATCAACTTGGCCTGGGACCGCGTTCAACTCACAGTCTTCTTCGTCCAGGAAACAGCTCTGTCACTGCTGTACATCTTCCAAGCCCGCAAATACTTACGCAACTCGTCTCTGCTCTCCAAACCCTATACCGTTGAGCCCACGCCAGGAGAGGAGACCGCCCCTGCACGCGCCACTCCGGAAACGCACCAAGTCCTTCTGCATCTCGTCCTGGCCAACTGCCTCGTTATCGCCCTCGACATCTCCCTGCTGGGCGTCCAGTACGCCGACCTCTTCTACTTGCAAGGCGCCTTCAAGCCGTGCGTTTATGGTGTCAAGCTCAAAGTGGAGTTTGCCATCCTGAACCGGCTGCTCGAGCTGGTGCGCAGGCGCGGGAGGGGCGGAATGGGGACGCTGTTCTCGGACGGGAGCGGCAGTGGAGGAGGCATTGGGCTCTCGCTCTCCGCACCGCCACCGGGAGGCGAGCCCTACTCGACGCCAAGAGCAGGACAGTCTCAGCCCCACATCCTGGTGTCAAGGTCTGTCGAAGTGGTGTCGAAATGGGACGACGAAAACCGAGCTGTCACCGGCAGGCACGAAGAGATTAGCCTTGGACAGCTGGGTCGCCGGCTGGCTACGGATCCCTCCCGGTCGCAAAGTCATGAAAGCCAGGATCCGATTTTGGCTGAGGAAGGTCGCGGCCGTGGTAATATAAGCGACTGAGACGACCCCGGAACGATACTGCATCCGCCACAACGGCGACTGTACAGTACTAGGATTAAAACGCAGGGCCGGTCGAGCACAACCATTGCAAGGGAGTCGGCGTTATTGGTTTCATGGTATTACGGGTTTCTCTAGGACGACGGGATGTCTGAAACGGTTGGCTAGGTATGGGATTTATTTGCGATTCACGATACCCGGATGTGCCGTTGTATACTGGCAAGGTAATGTGCCGCCTTGAGGAGGACAGGACAAAAGAACTTGACCATTTTGTTATATATCAACCTTTACGACCATTCATGAGGATGAACTAATTGCCAGCACATGCCCTAGGCCCTTGACACTGCTAACGGCTCGACAACCTCCCCTTGCGGCCAAGCCTTCAAAACGCCCATTGCTTGCACCAATTCTTCATCAGCTCCGGCGTAATAGCATGCATCATCCGCATCGTCTTGCTTCGGCTCTTGGTTCGCGCCAAGTCCATGGCGACATACCCCTGACCTTCCCGAGTAGCTTGCACCCACGCCTTATACGTCTCCAGCAGTTTGACACCTGGGTTCTTGCTCATGTCCTCGGTCGTTGCCTGGCTCTCCTCCAAAGCCCTTACCCACTCCTCCAGGCTAACCAACCTCTTGATCCGGTCACCATAAAACTCCTTGATCGCCTCTGCCAGCGTCAACCATTGAGTCGTCTCCGGGTTAATGCCATGGAAATAGCCCCCCATCTCCTCCACGGGGACGTAACACGCCACGCCGGACACCTCCAGCACAAGCTTCGCGATCCCCTCAATGGGCGCCCAATCCACGGTCGACATCTGTCCCAGACTATCCGGGAGAAGGCCAAGATAAAGGGAGCTCGCTATGATACTCGGCAACCACTCCTGGCGATTCCAGTATCCTTTCTCAGTACTCGGCCCAGCAATCTGCCCCACGCGAATGATTTCACTCGGCACCCCTGACACCTCGCTCGCCTTTTCCAAGATGAGACTCCCGATGAGCTTCGACCGGCCATAGCCGCCTGTACTTATACCAAAGTCATGCAGCGGCCGTTCCGGCACTGGCTCCGGCCGCTTCCACGCCGCGACGGTGGCGATTGACGAGATAAAGACGATAGGAACACGCTTCGCTGCCTTGTTGCTGAACTCGACCAGGTTGCGCACCCCACGCAGATGCGGCTCGAACGACTCGACGGGTATGTTGAAGTTGACCGGCCACTGGTTGTGGATGACTCGATCGACCGAAGTGAGCAGGTTGGTGTACACGTCGTGGTCGAGGCCGAGGTCGAACCGTGACAGGTCGGCGTGGAGGAAGGCGGCTTTGGAGAAATCTGTGCTCAAACCGCGGGCTGCATTACCTTTTGCCTGGCGGGCTTCTGCGTCGTCAGAGCGGTTCAGGCAGATGATCTTCTTTACCCTGGGACAGGAGATCGCCTGGTCGAGCATGTACGACCCCAACGCGCCGGTCGTGCCGGTGATGACAATCACCTGATTCTTGTCGGCAGGGGGCGGCTTGCCGGTCCGCGCCGCGGGCATGTCGGCCGTGTATTTGTCGATCAGGATCTTCATGGCCGTCTCTTCCTGCTGTGCCTGCGCCTCTCCAGCAGCGGCATCCTGTCCTTCTTTGTTTACGACTGAGAACAGGTACTCGGCCAGCCGTCGCGAGGTTGGGTTGCCGTAGATGACACGGGTGGCTACGGCTGAAGCATCAACACGCACTCCAGCTGCCTCGAGGGCACCCCGAAGGAGCCGCGAAGCGTTGATGACTTGCATCGAGTCGATTCCGACGGTGAAGAAATCCGTGTCTGGTTCTAGCTTGGGTGCCTTAAGCCACTTCTCAAACAGGGTTTCGATGGACTGGGTCAGGCCTTCCTTGGAGCTGAGATCCAGGTCGGGGGTTTCGGAGGAGGTGAGCTGGTCGGCGTGCTCATATATCTTGTCGATCTCGTCTTTGTACATCTTGATGGTCCTGGCTCGTTGGATGGTTCCCTTGTCTGACCTCAGGAAGGGCTTGCCAGGGGTGGAGAAGGCAATGAGTTGCCGGCCGATCTGGCCGTGGGCCACTGTTTCTTCGTTCGCCTTGACGACTAGCGGCCAGACTCTGTCCAACAGCTCTTGCTCTTCCTTCTCGTCCTTTGGTTGCACGACAGGCTCGAGGATCAAGGCCGGCTGGAACCTGTTGCTACCAACCACAAGGGCCCCTTTGATCTCAGGGTGGCTCATGACGATCTGTTCAATGCTCACGGGGTTGAGTTTCTCGCCGTTTGAGAAGACAATGATGTTGTCGGAGCGGCCGCAGTACATCCAGTGATCGGGCAACGACGGATGAGGTTTGTACAAGTCCTTTGTGCTGTACTCCTTGGCGTCCGGAAAGGTGTAGAAGAAGCCTTGAAAGTCTGGGTCTTTCTGCTTCCTGACAATCACCATCTCGTAGACGTCTTCCTCTGCCGACTTTCTCCAGTCGCAGCCGAAGACCTCGGAGTTGATGATGAAATAGCGCCAGAGCTTGGGATTGGGCTGCCAGTAGAGTGGAAAAGGTGAATACCTGATTCTGGTAAGTCTGCTATCCGGTTTCTTAACTGTTCACAAGGAGGCTTTACTCTGTAGCCCCTATGACATTGACTAACGTGACTCCTCCCTTGATCAGCCTATTCCCTGCGTCCTCTGTCAGATTTCCTGTTGAGTTTGCCAGTCAGCATGCATTCCTGCCTGGTAGCTCTCACAGGGACGCGCAGCTTACCTCCTCCGAATGTCACATACGCCAGCTTATTAAAGACATCCACTGACTCCTTTGACTGGCTCAGTTCTTCCAGGATTGCCGGCGGCAGCAGTACCGACTCGACATCGGCATACTTCAGGCATTGCACTGCCATATCCGACGAGAGCGGTCGATCGCCTATGCCCAACGCAACGGGGAGGTCCCAGTAGTGGACCATGAGCAAAGACACGTAAAGGGCGGCGGCGTGATAGAGCGGCACTGGCGAACCACATGTCAGCGACCTAGATACATCCTGGGTACAATCTTGCGTTCTTACTCGGGACCAAAATCCTCTTCGCCCTCCTCGCCATCTCGTCGAGGATGAATCTCCTGCCATTCCACTCCCCGAGACTGTGATACTTATCACCAATCGCAACCATGCCCTGCCTTGCAACGATGGGCTTCGGCAGACCCGTGCTTCCGCTGGTATGCAGCACCACCAGGGGATCCCATTCGGCCTCGTCAAACGTCTTATCATAGGGGTACGGCTCAATCTGCTCGTCCGGAAACCATTCTTGCAGCGGGAACGTCATGAAGGCCTGCATATCCCGCTCCTGCAGCCAGGGCTGGACCATGGCCTTGTAGGCCCTATCAAACCAGATGATGTTGCAGTTGGTCTGATAGAAGATGTTCATCTGGCCCTCTTGGGAGTTTCGTGGTGAGATGAAGAGCGCCTTGTAGCCGGCCTTTACGGCTCCAAGGGTGAATATCAGGTATCGGACGTCGTTGGGGCCGATGTAGGCGACGGTTCTGAACTCGCCATTGTCGGGCTTGCCCGTGGAATCGACCAGCTTGCGTGCCACGCGGTTGATAGCGTTGGCTGCTTGCTTGTATGCGATCTTTCTCCAGCCATCTTGGGGGTTGGACGTGTTGGGAATGGAAACCCACTCCCGGGTCGGGTCGCTTCGAGCTCGGTCGTCGACAAGTTTCACCAGCAGCCTTCTGCCATATTGTGGTGATGGTTCTGTCGTCGGGTGGGCATCCATGATGACGTGCAACTTTGGGTGTAGGTATCGACGTATGGCGTGTAGCGAGAGCCTCAGCCTGTTGCACCAAGCTTGGACGGTTATACCAGCGTGGTCGCTCGCTGTTTGTATTCATATTCGGTTGACGGCTGGTTGAGCCGCCACTGAGCCGTCGAAAGACCGAGAGACCGAAACCTTTGCATCCCACAAGAACTACGACGGCATGAAGTCATAGGGAACGTCCTACCTGACGTATCCTTACCTCTGGTTCAACTGTGTCAGGCCCGAGACCCCGCAATGGCATGAATCATGCTCCAGACACGACAGCCTAAGCTACTACCATAGCTCTCATATGTAGTGCGTATACATGGCTGGAACAGCGTTCCAACGCAGCGGTCCGTCCCGCGGGGTAGTCCCTAGTGAGAAAGAAGCCTTGAACTGCCACACTTTGGAACCCCGGCTTTGACCATACTACCGAGATCGGTGACGCAACCTGCTGCAGTTTAGTGCGTAGTACCCATACTTGACGCGGCAAGCGGGTCCTGTCATGATGGCGTCTCCATATAGACCGGCATACTCGGATGCCCGAGCGGGAAAGGATCGGAGCATTGCGATATTGCCGCCGCGGCGCCGCTGCGCTGGGCTCGCGCCGCGATCGGAAACAGGGGCGGGAATAACCGGTGTATATTCTCGTCCGGGGTGAAACGTCACCGGCTGTTCGTGGCTATGTATAGTGGTCATAAGCTTTGAGAACTTCCAGTTGTTGACGAGCAGTAGCTGTTGTCTTCTTCGCGCGCTCGCGGCCTCGCTCTGATCTCGGCAGCCGAGCGCCCCCTGCACTGCAGTGCCTTGCGCTTGGTCTCCTTAGTCGCCTCACACAGAGGTTTATAAATGAGGGATATCTACGTTCGTTGGGCATCGGATATATCCACAGCATCTCGGTAGCAACGTCATGTGTCGATGAATGATTGGTGGTATATTCCACGTAAGTAGCAGTTGTTGTCTTTGGTTCAGTGTGGTGACCGTTCAGGTTATACAAGTGCCGTAATATATCTAACAAGGCCAACAAGATGCCTTCCATTCGATCCTATCCGTCTGCGTATGGCTGACACCGTTGACAAATTCGTGCTACCGGGTTGTAACTGAAAATGCCTGGTGCACTACCTTAGCCATCTTCCAGGCGACTCACTGGTAGTTTGTACACATCGAACTAAGTCAGCCCAAAGGTCATACACGCCACCTGGCCATCGTGTAGTGTATACCAGTGCTTGAGATGAAATTCTCCATGATTGCCCCTATACTCGCTCATCATTCCCTTCGTTGTCTTCTACCAACCACTACACCAAATTCAACGTCATCCACACAATAATCCATCACGATGCGTCTCTCTGAGTTCTGCTTAGCCATAGCCGCGTTGCTAGGCACTTGCAAAGCAGCCCCAGCTGGTCCCATCAGAGACTCTATACCAGCCCCGAGTAACCTCATACCGGGAAGCATCCAGATCGCCGAGGGCGTGTGGTATAGCAACCGAACCGGGAATGCCAGCGTCACGGACCTCGGTCACGAACTAGCTGCTCAAATCAGTCACTGCCGCGTCGAGGACTCGACCTATGAGAACCAAGGAAGCGGTGGTTCTCCTTACGCCAAGGACTGCTGGGTTCTTCATGACAATATCGTCGGGGACGGCGACTGGTAAGTGATGTGACAAAATGCAAAAATACCAATATCAACTTTTGGCACTCCCAGAGACATACAAGAGATGACGGGATACTTCAAAATTGACTAGAATCCAGGACGGTCACCCTGCTCGACCAGCATCAGATAGCGCAGCACGGTTCCTGCGCTTTTGGCGTAACGTACTGGGGCAACCTCGGTGGAGAGCCGTATTTCCTGGTTGGGAACGACGACGTCCGTAGGATTGTCAGTCGGTCCATTGAGCTATTCATGTTTCATGGCAACGGAGCTGACAGGGTTGGCACGAAGGGGAGGATGTATTGTCGGCCTGGCGATCGCCCCGTCGAATGGGGATTATATTGGAATCCAGGGTTCAGTGGATAATGCTTGTGCAAGGTCATCGCCATGATTGAGGGCTGGGATAGAAGCAGTAACATCCTGGGGTCTGGTTGCTTGTAGTTCAAAGCGCTGCGTTAGACTTGGTCGCTCTAGCGTATAGCATTCTACTAGTAGTCTAGTAATAGACTAGGGGTAATGCTCGAATCAAGCATCGCAACTTTAAGGATGCCCAGGACGCTTATCCATGACAATATCACATCTTCCCTGATTCGACACCAGCTACCTCGACAGCCTCCACAAGGGGCTTGGGCTCCGCCCCCGTCTCCAAGCCATCACGCCGCTGCAACTCCAGAAGTGCCTCGTTCATAATGTTGGTCCGTGTAATCTTGAACTTCCAGGCAGGTATCCCCCGGTCAAAGAGCTCGTCAATTTCCTCCAAAGTCCGCCCCTTCAGCTCGGGCAAGCAAAAGAAGAAGAAGGCGCCGCAGACGAAGTTTGAGCCAGCCCAGATATAGGCATATTTGGCCCCCTGGTCATTGCGGATCATCAGTTACCAACGTTAACCGGGGGCTCTAGGGCAATGTCATGCTCACCCAGTCCAAATTCTCAGGGTTGATGAAGTAAGGTGAGCAGAACCCCGTCAACCAAGCCAAGAAGTACCCCAGACTGATGGCCGAACCCACCGTCCAGGACCTCAGCCTCGTGCTAACAAGCTCGGTGGCCACAGGGTAACTTGCTGCACCAACAAATGCATTGTATGCAAACATGTACAAGGACGTGAAGGCTATGAGAAAGTTCCGCGCGAGATCTGTTCCAGCTGACGTTGTCGCGGTAATGGCCATGGCCAGCATGCACAACCCCTGAGTCAGGGAGCCGATCATCATGATGCTACGTCGGCCAAAGACGTGGCGCATCAGGTAGATGCCGAAGTTGACGCCGACGAATCCGAGGCAGGTGTTCATGATGGAGTATTTGAAGGCTTCGTCAATGGTGAGGCCCGATACAGCCATGAAATAGGTTGTGTAGCTGATGAGGAACCAGGAGCCGCTGGTATTGTGGCAAGTCAGTGCTGTGCTCGAAGTTGGAGCTGCCAGAGAGGGCTTGATACCTTCCAGTTTGAGCTGTTGATGTACATACGGTCAGCGTACCGGAACCAACAACGCACAGACAGGAGAGTAGAATCTGGGATGGAACTCACTAGCTATAACGCCGAAGCAGAGCAGTGTCCGGCGCAAGTTGCTACCTATCAAGACATACAAGTTAGTAGGTCATCAGATGAGAGGAAATGGTATAGGAAGATGAGCATGGGTCGAAGGTGTCTTACCCCTGAACATCTCAAGCGGTCCAACCGAGCTCGCCAGCTTCTTTTCCTCCTCAATCCCCTTAACCATCTCCAACCACTCAAGCTCAAAGCTCTCGTGGCCCAGAGAGTCCCCTCTCAACGTTTGTAGCGCTTTCCGCCCCTCTCCATTCTTCTCCTTATTAACCAAATACCTCGGCGACTCAGGCACAAAGAACAGCCCCACCGACAAAAGCACCGGCACAATGAACTGAATCCCCAACGGAATCTGGTACGACGCCTTATCCATCATCTTCGACGTAGCATTCGTAACCACAGCGCCAACAATACTCCCAATATTAACCCACTCCGAAAACAGAGCGACCATGACAGCACGGAGGTGAGCCGGAGCCGCTTCGGCGCAGTAGATGTTGGAGAAGGTCACTAGAAAGCCATTGCCAATACCCAAGACCAGCCGGCCGAGATAGACAACCCCCCAATCGGTGGTCCCAATCTGAATGGCTGTGCCAAGCGCCGTTAGCAAGCAAGCCAGCCAGAGAGCGGGCTTGCGGCCGAAGAAATGCGCGAATGGCCCCGCGAAGATGGAAGATAGGAAGGCGCCTAGGGTGAGGAGCGAGCCGATCAGTTGTTGGAAGGTTCGCTGGCTGTTGTTTCAGCACGTTCTGTTCGTAAAAGGAGGAAGGTAAGAAGAAAAGCCAGGTACTCACGTCAATCCCGTATCCGCCTTCGAGATTTGGGTCAGGGTACCCAAATACCTGGAGGAACCCGGGCATGGCTTGCAGGCTGGCAAGACAGGCAGAGTCAAGGCCGTATTGCATGTTGGCTACAGCCACGATGGCGCATATGAGGAGGCATTTCCTGTTCGCCCAGAGGGATGTCTCTGGGAGGCGAGCGTGTGCCGCCGGTTCTGAAGCCATGTTGTTCTGGATGATGATGTGCTTGCTCTCAGCTGAGTTTGCCTTCTCTCTCCATGTAAGCCGTGTGGTTCCGCATTGGATCTTGCTTCGCAGCACTTTAGACTTACCACTCGTTCAAATATGGAGAAGGGGATATTTCATCAGCTGCTACTTGGTAACCGTGACTATCTGGACACCTGGAGGAAGGAGTTGACACTAAGTACGGCCGTTGGGTTGACGTGTTTCGATTCTTCAACCGCACCGTATTGTTTTACAGGCTATGAGGGGGGAGCTCCTCGCCGGGTATCTTCTCCCAGCACATCTAAGATTAAGGCTTATACCCGAAGACCGTGCAGTCACCCCAGGGTCAGGTCTTCCCCGCATGCGATCCCCATCTCGGCGATTTTTTTGTATTAGCTCGGTAGGTTCAGTTATCATACCTTGGTAATTGGGGTTGGTCGTCCCAGGCTGCATCGAGCCTCGCTTGTGTAGCGCTGAACGCATCGCATTGCAGAAGACAGTAGAAGTTGCAAGAAAGGCCTGCCATCCAGCGGCAATCAGTTGCTGGGTAAAACGGGCAAACAGGGAAGACACATCAACCTAGTTTTGGCGCAGGCTTCCCTAGAGAACATTGTTTATTGATCTAAGCTGTATTCAAAACTGGAAAGTCATTTCTGAAATCTCTCTAGACCCCATTCTCTGCCATGCCTCCATTGGCCCATCAGACGCCAAAGGTTTACTTCCGAACTGTATCCTTTCTCGGGCGCCCTCTCGGTTGCTTCTGGCCCGTCGTCGCTCCTTGTCTGGGCCGAGCCGGTGCCGGTGCCTTGGACACAGCCGACTCCTTGGCTTTTCTCGGACGGCCCCTCTTGGGCTTGTCTGCAGGCGGACGAGCGGGAACAGGCCGAGCAGTTCGTCTTTCCTGCGGTGGGGGTGCGAGGAGGTTGGCTTCCATGGCCGCGATCCTGGGGCTGCGCCGTAGCGGTTGGGCCGGATTCTCATCCCGTCGCCGCCGCTGCCGTCGGCGCTGGGGTAGCGCTGGAGGTTGCGCAGGCTCAGGGGCCTTTGGCGGATCGTTGGGACTCGAGGGTTCCGGTGAAGCTTCAGGGGAAGGGGAGGCGAAGAGTCCAGTTCTTCGGACATGAAGTGGATGGCCCCGAGGATAGTAGGGGCGGGGCTCGGGCGGGGGAGTCGGAGGCGGGATGGCTTCGAGCGCATCCACCTCGGAGGGCGTAAACTCCATGTCCATGGTGTTGAGGGGCGTCAAGTCTTCGGGCTCCGGGGATGGACTCTCATGCCGCCACTTCCACCCGACGGCAAACTCACCAGACGGATGTTTCCAGTCCTCTCTCCAGTCGCCCCTCAGCTTCCACCGTTCGTTTACGTGCTTCCACATGGGCTCCCTATAAAGCCGGCGCTTTTCAAAGGGGATGCGATGGAATCTTTCCGTTTCCTCCCACGCTTCAACACTGTACATGAACCAGGGCCGGGAAATGATGAAGGATTCGGCTTGGGAAGCCGGCGCGTCCTCCTGCAGTCGAGAGCGTGGAGGCACCGGACTGTGCTCGTTGCGACGGAGGCCCTGGCGCAATCTTACAGCGCGTGTGATGGGATGCTGTGGATCCTTGTAATCGATAGCGGGGCTGTCATGCTGCCACCTCCACTTCCATTGGGATGGGTTATCGTTGGGCTGCGGATTGTTCTGCCGGTCAGGAATTCCCCACTGGGGATTCCAAACGCCGAGCTTCTGCCAGCGTCGTTTGATGTTGCGTCGGACAATGATATTCCTGCGCTCACGACCTACCCGCCCTGGGCCGAGGTATTTCTTCGCCTCGTCGCTAGAAGCGTGATACGACCATGCGAAGGAGTCCACACGCGCTTGTTCGATGCGCTGTTCCGTACGGTAGCGTTCCCCAGGATCATACGCTTGGGCGTTGCGGTACAAGCGATAGGCGACTTCGCGTTGTTCGTCATCGCTCAGAGGAGCGTCCATGAGGTCCTTGAAATCGTCCAACACGGTGTTGGCATTGAGGCCCAATGCCGGGTGAAACATGGCATTTTCTTCTTCGTCTTCAGTTGAGGATTCATACGGCGGTGGCTCATCGCGATCGAAGCGGCGGAGAGCACGGTCGTGCATGTCGGGGTTGGCCGCAAGCCGCTCGAGAGCTGGAAAGGCCTCAGATTGGAGTGCATTGTTAATCTGCACTTCGTCAAGAAGGCGCGGCATCTTCTCCTTCTCGTGGTGTTGGTTATTTGCAGCGAGAAGTTCACAGGTGTTTTCTGGTGATGGAAGCGAAAATGAGACACGCGCATGAGTTATTATGGGTGGTTCAGGAAGGCGCGACCATCACGTGAAAAGCCGAAAATACTACATGAGGAAGCCGCCCTCGAGCCGCCCAATGTAACGACGCTCACTTTTCAACCCGCGTCTTGATTCTTGACCCAATCGTGATGGCAGACACATCGAGTTTGGTTACACTGATGAAGTGTCGCGCGCTTCCTCGAACCAACATACCTAAGGTTCCATGACTAACACTCATGGTTCAGAACACCTGCGGCCTGCGGGCGGCATGCCAGGCAGCAATACAAATGTCTTCGCCCAACCCCGTCGTTTAACGGGGAAGATGTCTCTCGGTTTCTGCGCACGACTCCGTTGCTTTCAGTTCCTTCCCACAATAAGATAGCTTCGACGCTATGGTTCGGAATGTCAATGCGAGCACTCTTTTTCATTTGGTACCTACGAACCAAACAGCCCACGATGCACTTCTTCACCCTGACAACAGTCACTTTGTTTCGACAAGTCCTTCCCGCAAGCAACTGGGACTAGAAATCGGTTTCCATGTCCCGTCGACGCCTAGCGGCCGTGTTATAACCAGACTCGGGCGAAATGCGGACCTCATCCTCCGCGGACGTGCGGTCTCAGCAGTCCACGTCGCATTCGAGATTCACCCAGAGACCCTCGTTGTACTGCTGTCGGTCCGGTCCAAGAACTCGACGTCTGTCACCATTGCACCGATGCAGAAGGCAGGGCACGAAGAGGTAATCGACGGAGATTGCGTCATTGTCTACGGACAAGATTATCGTATGACGATCGCGTCTCATAATTTCGAATTGATATGGCGGAGACCCGAAGCGTACGACGTGATAATGGCGCTAAGGGAGCTGGCGATACGAGGGTACCAGGACTCTCTGCAGCGGCTACAACATGTCCGATCACGGGACCTCCCAACTGAATTCGATCAGTCAGAACTTCACACATGGCACAACACCAGAATACACACGGCACGCAAAGTCCTGTTCCGTGAAGCCGAAGGAGCACCTCGTGCCCTTGTCGGCGAGGGACAGTTCGGGAAAGTCTTCCGCGCAGTCGACCTTGTATCTGGGAACCCCTTCGCCGTGAAAGTGGTCTTGCTGCATAAGTATACCAACATGGAGCTGGCGCGAGCCGCTCTTCACAGGGAGGTCAAGACTCTTGAGAAGCTCAAACATGTACGTTATACTGCCATTACCGCAGCCACATGCTAACCGCATAGCAGAGGAACATTGTCGAGTATCTAGGTACCGCCAAGTGGGATACCATCCAACCCGAGATCTTCATGCCTCTACGCCCAGGGAGCCTCAGGTCGCTTGTCGAAACCAGGGACAGCGTGCCAGTGTGCGACGACGACAGCCTGTGCATGCAAGTTCTGGAGCAGATGCTCTGCGCCCTCGATTACCTGGCCTCCCATGGGCTATGCCACCGAGATGTCAAGCCCGAAAACATCCTCTACTGGCCTGTGACCCAAGGGGTATATGGCTTCCAGCTCGCCGATTTTGGCCTCGCCAATCACCAAAGTCTTGCCAAGACATTCTGCGGCACCGGTTACTACCAGGCTCCCGAGACCCACATTCTGTATGGCCAGTTTTCCCAGAGTCCCAAGGTGGACGTGTGGTCTCTCTTTGCTACCATCATCGACGTGCACCGCGATTTCACCTTCCCGCCTTGGGACGCCAAGAGCTACCACGACGTCCTGCTCGCCATCCGGGTCGCGGCGACAAAGATGCCCAAGCTCAGCAGCATGGTGAGAGAAGATCCCGCACAACGGGCCTCGGCGGCGCAGCTGCTCGTGACCCACTTTGGTGGGCAGGGTTTGACGACACCCAGGGCCGCGGTGCCGCCGATCGGGTCACCAGATGAGGACCCGGGCGGGAGCCGAGGATTAAGGAGGAACATTCCGACATCCATCTCGGACCCCCCGGCGCCCCTAGCGGCTCGCGCAGCGCCACCCTTGGTCGTGTATCCCCCGCCCCAGAAGAGGAGGACGCAGGAGTCAGAACAAGGCAAGCCCTCCGCCAGGCCACAGCAAAAGCCGTCGCCATCGCCATTGCTGGACGTATTACGGGCACAGGCAGCACAGGCACGTCGAGATGCTGTTGCGAAGTCGAGAGGTACAGCCAACGCCGCCAGGCAAGCTAGGCAGATACCCGAGAAGGAATCTGTGAGGAGGCAACTGGACAGGTCTGAGGAGCTGCGGGTTCCCGGCCAGTTTCCAGTGTGAATCCTGGAGAAAGAAACGGGCCTGGAGCCAAGTCTTGTCTTTGGATATATCAGAATTCTTCCGCCTCATCTCTAATCGCCATTTTTTCGCAAGCTGTACTAATAATATTGAAGTAAGCCGCTGTCTTCTGGATTCTCTGGGTTTTCAGGCGTTTCTGGTGTACTTGGTCGCTGTGTGTTAGCTCATTCACATGATCGGTTACTCGAGGGCCAGGGTTGACTCAATTGTTGATGTCTCGTTCACAGACTGAGGTGAAGAAGGAAGAAGACGGCGAAGCTATAGGCCAAACTCGTCCAAAAGAGTAACTACCACGGACAAAGCTATAAGCCAAGCTACAGACGGAGAATATACCTCAATTAATGAAATCTATTAGGATGACTGCTAGATTGCGGAATGACGGCGGCATGGCTTTCAAGTCCAACCCGCACTTGAGTCCTGACATACACATCCACCCTCATCCACATCTCCTCGTCATCAAAAGCAACCTGTCTTAACGATACAATCTTGCATTCTCAACTGGACCGCTAGCCCCAGACATGTACCGTCCCCTAACCGTGCTCGAAAGAGAAAGAGTGCGTTCATTTGGCGTATATCAAAAAGAAGAAACCTGGCATGACTCTACTAGTATCCCAATCCAAGTTAGCACCCCCTCATCACTTGCAACCACCTTCCTTAGAACAAGGACAACTCACCATTCTCCCCCAAACCCACCCCAGTTTGCAGTCCAGTTCAAGTTCAAGTATTCGCACCCGCACCACCGGCACCGGCAGCATTCACATTCGCCGCATTCGCATTAGCCTGGCCCCCAGCCCCAGCCGTCTGCTGCGCACCACCGGAGTTTGTACGGGTCTGGGCCAGGTTCAGAGAGAACGATCCCAGGCCGCCACCAAGGTTCTGGCGTCTTCTCGCACCACCACCACTGTCACCCCCACCACCACTACCGTCGGCGGCGGCGGTAGCGGAGGCACCGGCAGTGACCACGGTCACGCCTGACGGGAGGGTGATGCCCGAGGGGATGGAGACGCCGGAGGGTAGGGTGATGGTTACGGCGGAGGTGAGGGAGAGGAGGGTTGCGAGGGCTGCGAGGGTGGTCTTCATTTTCGTAATTGGTTCAATGTGGGTGGAGAAAGACGATAAGGTTGAGCAGGGAGTTGTTAAGAGGACTGGCCTATTTGCCTGCAGAAAGCGAGCGTGGATTGTTTTGTCGTAGTGACTGTCTCGTGGTACTCTCGGGTCTCGAGTAGATGCTGTTGGTGTTGGGAGGAGAAAGGGGCAGCTCAGGAGGTCTCGAGAGGGCATGACTTTATAATCACGTCGGTCACTGTAGGACTATCGTATCTCATGCTGGAAGCGTATGCTCGCCTCTATTTCTGCACCTTTGCCTGCAGTCTCGCCGCGAGAACTCTTCGTTGCCCATGCAACTGGCAAGCTGAAATTTGATGGTGATGAACATGGACGCACAGAAATGCATGCAAGGCCGAGTCAGGCTTGACGCAATGATTCTGGTATACTGCAGGGCAAATGGCCTTTTCTGAACTTGCTCACAGGAGTTGATTCCAAGATGGAACAGGGTTGCCACCATCACATCAGCCTCTCTATCCCGAGCTGAGGCATACCTCACTCCAGAGAAGAAGGATACAGCCTGACAGGCACCAACCCGTCGAGACCACGGCAACAACCTCCCCGAGCAGCCTATCCAGTGCCCTCGCCTTTCAAGGCCATTCTCGGGCCGGATCAGGAGGTGCGTTGAGGCAGGTGGCTGACCGAAAGCCTAATGATAACAAGAATAGGCACTTCCATACTGTAGGCACTATCTCAGGGAGGCAAGGAGTCGACAGCGGAGCTGACAACCCGGCTGTACTATTCTCTTCGCCTTTCATGATTCCGCTTCTCAACCATCCAGCTTCAGGAACAGCTTCATCTTGCATACATGTCTGTACCTAGATATTGAAGCCACAGCGCGGGTGAGTTGTATGACGAACAATCTCGAAACTTCTGGTGGCGCGTACCGAAGCCCCGAATAAGGTTCCGGCGTCCGCGCTACATCTGGCTGCCGTTCCTCCTCATCACCAGATAGATACTTCCAAAATAGGCCACTACATGCAAATCGCATGATGTTGCCTTCCTGGTGGCAAGCCAGGGGAAGTACACGCGTATCCTCTCATACAAGCAACATCGACATGTGAATCTGACATGACAAGCTGACGCGTCCCGTTGACAATTCCATTAGGGTACTACCACCTGCAAGACCAACGTCATCCCCGGCTCTGCCCGACATGTCACATTATCTCCATAGGCCTCATGAGCCGCCCGACTGTCCAGTCACCGACCAGTAACTGCCATCCCTCCGACTTCACCACCCCTACACTAATGCGCCACCCTCGGGCGGACCTTGACATAATGCTCCACAGGCCGCACATTAAACCACCCATCCTGCTTCATGACATACTCCTTATCCACCGCCTCAAAGTCAACATCCCTAATCAGCTTGGCCGTAACCACCACCAAAAACTCCCACGCCCAGTGGCGGCCAATACACTGCCTCTTCCCATTCCCAAACCACTTTTTCACCCCGGCCGGCAGCCTCTCAAAACTCTCCCCCATCATCCTCTCCGGGCGGAACGCCAACGGCTCCTCAAAAACCGCCGGATCCCGATTCACGCCAGCCAGGACAATAATCATCGGCTGGTTATGCGCAACCTGGTACTTCCCCCCACCCAACAACACCGGTGATTTATCACCCTGCTTGGGGATTGGCTCAATGTTGAACCCCGGCGCAGCACACGACAGCCGCAACGTCTCGCGGACAATGGCGGCAACATATTCCAGGCGCGGGACATGCTCCTGGCGGAACGGCCCGTCACCCACAACCTCGTCCAGCTCGTCGCGTGCCTTGACGAGCGCTTCGGGGTTTTGCAGCAGGAAGTGGATCGCCGCGGCGATGGCGCAGGGCGCGGTGCTGCTGCCGATGGGCATGCTGACTATTTCGTCAATGACTTGGGAGTCGGTGAGGGTTTTGCCGGTTTCTGGGTCGGTGGCGTTGAGCAGGGTCCAAAGCAGGTCGTGCCGGTCCGACGGGTGCTCTTTGCGGGCCTTGACCAGCTCCGCGGCGAAGTCACGCATGGTTTTTGTTGCCTTTTTGAACTTGGAGCCGTACACTAGCCAGTTGAGCAGTTTGGGACGGGTTGGGCGCTTCATGGCTTCGGAGGTGGAGTCTTCCATGGCTTGGAGCATGGGGTGCGCGGGACCCTCGATGCAGTTTAGCTTTTTGCCGAACAAGGTGAGAGTTATAGCTTCGAGATTGAGCCGGTTGAGGTCGTCGAGCGGCTTGATCTTGGTGTCGGGCCCGATGCCGTGCCATTTCCTAATCAGTTCGTCGGTGCATTCCACGATGTCGCTGAAATGGCCAGCCACAACCTCTGGAGATAACTGAGGGGCGATGATGCGGTGGGCGATGCCCCAGCTCTCCTCATGGTCGAAGGCTGTGAACAGGGCGTCGTGGACCGTGTAGCGGATCTCGACAATGGGGCCACCGACGTATTTGCGGAACCGTTTTTCGTCGCAAATTTCCTCAGCTAATGCGGCGCTGGCGACGAAGACAATGGAGTGGCCGAGCACCTTGATTTGGAAGATCTCGCCTGCAAAACCAAGGCGGGTCAGCCCTTGGGTCAACCGCCTATCCCGTCCCGTTTGTGCGAACACCGAGACTGTCACTCACCATACTTCTCGGCGAGCGTTTTCAGCGACCACCAGGTATTGCTCGGGTCAACATCGAAAATGTTGCCCAAGATGGGGACGCCCCGGGGCCGGGGAATGGGTGTCGACATGGAGGCGTCGGATTGCGGGTGACACGGTCGGGGCCACGTGCAAATATTAGTTTCCAGTCCTCAGCATTGTCGAGGCACTCGAGTCAAAACCGAAGACAGCAAGCATCCCGACTCTTTAAACGATCCATTGTTAAACGCGTGGCTGGAAACTGAGACAAAACTGCCATCCGGGCCCACACACTGGGCAATCACGATTCCGCAAACGCGCCATCGCGACGATATCTCCAATGAGCGGTGCAGATGCTTTTTATCACTGTTTGTCCCCCGTGCAGAGCCAGCCAGTCTCGGGCCAGTGATCAATGCAGTTATGGTCATCAAAGCGGGGACTTGCAGACCTGTGTGGCTTGTCGTCAATCTCGCCGGCCCGAACAGCGGATGATCGACAGCGGTGTGCCGGGAATGGGTTAGCTTCAGGTGCAGATCGGAGCTGAGGCCAGGGTTGCAGATCGGGGTCTTGGCTGCTGGCGATCACCCACCCGCTGAGCTGAGCAGGGGCCACTCAGTGTGACGCTACGGGGAAAGAACAGCGCTCCGGCCGGGTGAGTCATGTGACTTTAGCTTCAGCTCCTCCCGAGTTCAAGTCCAGCTGGCTGCCAGCTGCAACCATATGGTACGCTAGCATTTAACCCGTTTAACCGGATTCAAGGTTGGAGAGGTGCACAGGGCTTGGCAGCTAGCTTCTCAAGCATCCTACAACTACAATCACTACAACATTCTTCAACCACGCTTTCACTCCTGCGGCTCGCCTCAAATGCAGCCCTACTGGCGCACCAATGGGGTGTTATGTGCTCTGAGATACACACCTTAGCCGCAACTCTTCTGCCGTCAGCGCCGCCTCGATTGCCGTAACCCCTCTCGCGAGAAGCCGAAGCCGTTTGCCGGTTGGGGGACCCAAGGGTCCGGAGCTACGCACAAGATGACGGATACAGCTTAATGAGTTTCTTGCCAATAATGGATATATTAAGCATCTCATTCATCGTCCCGTAACGACAAGATGGGTAACATGGACATTGCCATCGTTCAGGTTCCTGCCTGCGTCCATCGTGTGAACGTAACCCTCCTCCATCATCAAGACACACCCCGGCCTGACAACAAAGATGCGTGGTGCGGACAAAATTCTCCTCTCACTGGCGGCCCTGGCCTCAGCAGCACCCGCCCATGACCCTAAGCCCTTCTCCCTGTTCGAATACAAAACAATATGGCAGGCACCGCCCGGTGTCCGGGCCTTCTACCCACGTCTAACAGAGCTCAAGGATGGCACCCTCCTAGTCACAACAGGCACGTCCGGCAATCGCTCTCTGGCCGGCCTCTCGTCGTTCCCCGTGTTCGAGAGCAAGGACGGCGGCGTGTCATGGAAGCAGGTGTCCAACATTACCGACCAGGTCAACGGGTGGGGAATGACCGCGCAGCCCGCCATCACCGAGATGACGCAGGATGTGGGCCCGTACAAGAAGGGCACCATCCTGGCGAGTGGAAACAGCTGGAGCTTTAACGAGACCGCTGAGGGTGTGGGAACTAAGATCGATCTGTACGCCAGCAGAGACAGGGCAAGGACGTGGGAGTTCGTGAGTAACGTGGCGGTGGGGGGAAGGCCGAATACGACGAATGGGGCGGATCCCATCTGGGAGCCTTACCTTATGTGAGTGTGCTGCTTGCTTTGACCGCAATGCAACTCGTCGATCTGACAGCCATCTAGGATCTACGACAACCAGCTAGTCTGCTACTACTCCGACCAGCGCGACCCGGACCACGGCCAGAAGCTAGCCCACCAAACCTCAAAAGACCTAAAAACCTGGGGCCCCGTCGTCGACGACGCCGCGTACGATCTGTACATCGCCCGACCGGGCATGACCGTCATCGCGCACATCGAGACCATCAACAAATGGATCCTGGTCTACGAGCTGCCCATCGGCAACTCCTCGTCCTACGGGTCCAACTACCCCGTGCACTACCGCATCGCCGACAGCCCGCTCGAGTTCCAGAGCGCCGAGCCCCTGCCTATCGTGATCAACAAAGAGTTCGCGCCCAACGCGTCCCCCTACGTGGTCTGGTCCCCGGTAGGCAGCAAGAAGTGCGGCACGATTGTGGTTTCGGATGCGGATAACTCGCAGGTCTACACCAACCAGGCGTGTGGAGATGTGGACAAGTGGGAGATGCACGCCACGCCGCAGCCGGCGGCGTATAGCAGGGCGTTGCATATCTTTAAGAAGCATCCGGATCACCTGATGATTCTGGGCGGGAGCACCTTTGACTTTGATGAGGGGGATGATCCGAACTTGAGTGCCAGTGTGGTGAGCTTGACGGAGGTTGTGAAGGGCAAGTATGATAAGAAGGGATGCGACAGTCGCCGGTGAGTGATTACTGTCCATCTTTGACAGAACGAGATGAGCGGAGAGGACGCATCTGGCAGCGGTCCACGTGTACGAAACAAAATAGCTTACCCCGGAGCCTGACTGGTTCCTCCTTTTCCCGCCTAAGATCGTCAGCAGCAACATGAAGCCAATACATGCTGCTGGTCTCTAATATACCTACACTATACGTACCCTACCTACAGTACAGCACAGCCTCGCCGCTCCATACCCACCATCGCCTGGCACGGGCTTCGGTGAGGGTTCACCCTTGACACCCTCTTCGGACATGTCACGGCAAATTTCAGGGACAGGGACCACAAGCCATCACTCTCACCGGGTCGTTGAGGTACAGTACCTGTCTGAGATCAGGGATGTGTTAGACTGCATCTCCTTGTCCTCATTCAGGCTGTCATCCAGCTAGAGGTCCTTGAGGTAGCCGCCTACCCAAGGCTGAATGCATAGATCTTGACACCCCATAACCGCGTTATTAGATCAATTTATCCTCGGGACTCCCGCACGGCTGGACCAGCTTGATGGCATTTGAACCAAAATCTGGGGTAAGGTAGTAATTAATCCCGTAAGAACCGTCTGGTGCGCTTGCAGGAAATAATCCGAGTGGCTTGGATGCGCCGGATAATATACAAGTACGGTAACATCTTCCTCATAGCATCATATTATTGCCCAGACGCGCGCCAATAGCATTAAGAGACTGGCTTAGACAAGCTCCCAGCCCTGGCGACCTCACTGCCGTGACAGAAGCCGACGTGTCTCCCGGAACTAGCATACCAATACCTGAAACGATCAAGATCCGGGGTAACTGAACTAACTGTCCACCCTAGGTCATCATGCCCATCCTAGGCGCATGATGGCCCGTAGTCTGAGCAGGAATATAATAAGCGTCTGTAGCACGCCTGGCAAGAGCTTCCCGAGCACTTCATCAGGTCAATTTCCATCCTTCACTGACCTCTGCCTGAGAACTTGACCAGTGTCAAGGCATCCTCCACCTCAAGCTGGTCCCACCCACTCCCTCCGCCATGAAGCAAATCCTCACCCTGACGACGGCCCTCGCCGTCCTCCTCCTGGGCCTTCTCAATGCCGTGGCCGCCGAATCCTCACCCGGATGCGGCAAGACCCCTTCCCTGCGCAACCAGCAGTACACCATGACCGTCAACGGCAAGCAGCGCCAATACTTCATCAAACTCCCCGACAACTACTCCCCGACCCGTCCCTACCGGCTGATCTTCACCTACCACCAACTCGGCGGCAGCGCCCAAAAGATTGTCAACGGCGAGGACACCAACCGCGGCGGCGCCTTGCCTTACTACGGCCTTCCGCCGCTGTCAAATAACAGCGCCATCTTTGTTGTTCCGAACGGGCTGAATAACGGCTGGGCCAACCAGGGCGGGGAGGATGTCACCTTTTTTGACCAGCTCGTGCAGCACGTCTCCAACGAGCTGTGCGTCGACACGCGGCTGATCTTCTCGACGGGCTTCAGCTACGGCGGGGCCATGTCGTTCGCCCTCGCGTGCGCCCGCCCCAACGTCGTCCGCGCCGTGGCGGTCTTGTCTGGCGCACAGTTGAGTGGTTGCCAGGGCGGGACGCAGCCGGTGGCGTACTATGGACAGCATGGCACGGCTGATTCGGTGCTGAATGTGAGTGGAGGACGGCAGTTGAGGGATCGGTTTGTGAGGAACAATGGGTGCACCCCGGTGAATCCCGAGCCGCAGCCGGGGGCTACGAGCGTCAAGACGAGGTATCAGGGTTGTAAGGAGGGTTATCCGGTGACCTGGGTTATTCATAGGGGCGATCATAACCCGTCGGAGAGGGATGGGAATACTATTTTTGCGCCGGGGAACACGTGGGAGTTCTTCTCGCAGTTCAGTTAGGCTGGCTGGATTGTGGTTGGTACCAGACTTTGTGTACATGGGACAAGAGGAAATATCTGTATATAATGCCCATGCAGTCCTTGTATGGTGTGGTACCTGAACATACCTTCTTTCGAGGCTCGCTTCGCTCGCTTTGCAAGATCCGTGTCTATTGCTAGCAAGTGGGAAAAATTCAGACTACCTAGTGAGCGCGGAGTGGTTTCCCGTGTCTTGCTGTGGCACTTGAGACTACTGTCGTAGTACACATGCATACCTAGGTAGGTTGGTACGTTCAATGTTATCTTTTTTCCTAGGTAAGATAAGTAAGGCACCTTCATTCCGGTGTCCTAGTGCGCGGGCCAATCCATGTGTACTTCCAGCCGTATATCGTATCGACGACATGGACGGACTGTGCTGCGTGCGAGAGTGAATGCATGCGTCCAGTCCGCAACCCTGGTGTTCAGGGGTAAATGGGGTCCAAAACGGTGCATGCTTGCCAAGGTGTTGTATTGACCAAAAAGGGGAGCTCTGCCAAAACGGAAACCATGACTGCCAACATGCTGTTGGCAGCTTCAGCTATGTAAGTTGGCTCCCTCCATGTTTGTTGGTTGTCAGACTGGAGACAATGACGGCCTGGAAAAACTCGCTACTGTACGTCTCTCCATTCTTCCGCCGCTTCTAATATTCGTGTTCGCGTTCGAAATGGTCTAAACATCTACGAGGAGACAGCAGCGTTCACGGCTGCACATAGCTTATACTGTTCGATCGTGCTCCCAAGGTTCGCATTGCCATCAATCCCAACGGGCCACCATCATGCTTCAGTACCTGCTGACCGCCGCTTTGGCGTACGTCGTGTGGACGCTCGTTTGTCTGGAGCTCAACGTGCGCAAGGCGCGGGACATGAAGGTGCCCTATGTGCGCATTCCCATCGACTCCAACAACATCCCCTGGACCATTGTCCAGCCTTTGGTCTACAACCTCCTGGATCGGCTGCCCATCACGTGGTCGTCTTACCCAGACTTTGTTCGCTATTCTCGCCGAGGATGGTCTTTTGCGGACAAGGCCCAGGCAACCGTGCGCCTGGGGCCCGTCTGGGCCCTGGTGACCCCTGTGGGCGTGTATCTTCACATTTCCGACCCGGGCGCCATTCAGGAGATTCTCACGAGGCGCAAGGACTTTCCTCGGCCGTACAAGGAGCTTCGTGAGTCATCCCCCTGTGCTTAAGACCCTCCCCCTTAACCCCTCAACCTATGCAGAGCTCCTCGAGGTGTACGGCCCATGCATTTCCACAGCCGGGTGGGAAGACTGGCCGCGCCATCGGAAAGTGCTCGCCTCGCCCTTTAACGAGAGCATAATGAAGTTTGTCTGGAGCGAGTCGATCAGCCAAGCCAGAGCCATGCTGCGCTACTGGACGAACCTATCCTCAGCCGGCATTCCGAGCGTGCAACGGGACATACGCACCGTCTCGCTCAACGTGCTCGCGGCTATAGCCTTTCGCAAGTCGTACGACTTTTACGGCTCTTCCGAGCCCTCGGTTGACGATACAAACAGCTACCGCGATGCCTTGATGACCGTCCTCGACGGGGTTATCCCCCTGCTGTTGATCCCGTACAAAATCCTGGCTTCTTCCTGGCTACCATTGCCAAAGGGGCTGGCAAAACTTGGCAAGGCAGCCGTCGCGTACAAAAAGCACATGATGACGATGCTAGAGGACGAGTTGGCTGCCCTCAACCAAGGCACCCCTGGATCCGGGGGCGTCATGACGGCCTTTGTGCGCGCTCTGGACGTGCACAAGCGGGAAACCGCCGTCTCACCACCGCCGGCCAGAGAAGACCGCAAGGGTCTCTCAGTCGACGAGATCTTGGGCAACCTCTTCGTGCTCAACTTTGCAGGCCACGACACCACGGCCAACACGCTTGCTTTTGCCACCCTTCTTCTGGCGGCCCACCCCGAGGTGCAGGACTGGCTCGCGGAGGAGATCAAGCTTGTCACGAAGAACAGTACAGAGGAGTGGGATTACAAAACCATGTACCCGCAACTCAAGCGCTGCCACGCCGTCTTCCTCGAGACGCTCCGCCTGTACCCACCTGTCATGATCATCCCCAAGACAGTCACCCAACCACAGACACTCGAGGTCGGCAAACGGACGCTCACCATCCCGCCCCCGACGGGCGTAAGCGTGTGCGCCATGGCGGTGCAGACCAACCCGGATTTCTGGGGGCCGGATCCGCTGGCCTGGAAGCCCGCGCGGTGGATCATGAACCCGGCACCGCGTTCAGGTTCGTCGCCGCCTACCGAGGGTCAGCTCGCGGGTGAAGAGCTGCTTGTCCCGGAGAGGAATACGTTTCTGGCCTGGTCTGAAGGCCCCCAGAGCTGTCCTGGGAGAAAGTTCTCTGAGGTGGAGGCTACGGCGGTTATTGCGTGTTTGGTTGAGGGGCATCGATTGAGTGTGAAGAGGGAGGCTGGGGAGAGTGATGAAGACGCGAGGAAGCGGGCTGTGGAGTGTGTGAATGATGTGAATATGGAGATGCTGCTTAAGATGGTGGATGCGGATAGGGTAAAGCTTGTTTGTAGCAGGGTAGACTGATGGCCGATGGAGGGTAGTGATGGACTTGGACTGATATGATTCTGATAATCTGATTGACAGCATACTGTCTCTTGGTGTTAGTAACGTCCTCTTCGCTCGCAATCGAACTCTCACTGCTAATCTGTATAAGACATATCTGAGGCTGGTGGATCATCGCCAATCACCAAGGCAAGTCTCCCCCTCAGCCAGCCTTGTATACCTTACACTATCCCTCCAAAGACACTCCCGTTTCCTCTCATCCTTCGATTCGTCACTCGGCTCTGCCCGCTCCAAACCATTCATATACCACCCCTTTGGATACTCACACAGCGGCTCACCACGTTTCAGCGCCAGAACCATCATATCAGCCGCCGACTTCCTGGTAGTCCTCAGCGATCCGTTTGGGCTCAGCCATGTTGTCAAAACCGCGAGCGGCGCGAGGACAAACCTAAAGATCAACACCACAACCCAGGCACTTCGCCGCACAAGCTCAGTCCCCGGCATAGTCCCCGGGTCCACGGCGAGCACACAGATCTTGTTTAGCCTCGCGTCGGCATCAAGCCGGCGCTGCAGCTCGCCCACCATCATGACCAGACACAGCTTGGAGGCTCCGTACCGCCGCTGAGCGCTGCGCCATGCGGCGTCGTTGTCGGTACTGTTATTACTCCAGGTACCGTAGGCAATGGGGTCCGTCATTCCGCTTCCACTTCCACTTTCGTCATAGGAAAAGAAAGTCCTCCACTTGTTGTCCTTATAGCACCCCGTCACATCATTCCTTTTATCCTCCGGATCATGCACCGAGCTAGACACAACCACGACCCTCCCCCGCTCCCGATCCATGCTCTGCAGCAGCAGCAACGTCAACAACCAATGACCAAGGTAGTTAGACACAAATGTCATGTCCAGCCTTCGCCCGTCCTCCTCCGTGTCGTCAGTCCAAGATTGCTTAAAGGGGTCAATAAAACCCGCGTTGAGAATAAGAGCACGAATCGGCGGGATCTCGCCGGCCGCTACGCGCGCGTTGATGGACGCCGCTGCCTCACGCACGCTGCTGAGTCGGGAGAGGTCCATGGACATGATGTCGTGGGTGTGTGAGGGACTGTTTGGGGAGGACTGGAGAGTGCGGTGTAGAGCGGAGGCGGTCGCGGCATTGCGCACCGTGTAGATGCCGTGATGTTGTGCGGCGAGTGAAGGGGTGGATAGGATGTGGGAGACGATGGCACGGCCGTACCCGCCGTTCGCGCCCGTGAGGAGGATGGTGCCCTTGCCGTCCATGGCAGTTGCCAATGTTGCAATGTTGTGGGCGATTCGTAGTCCGGTACCAGCCTCCAGTTAGTACTGAGGTCTGGTAAGGTAGGGATAGCCTGGTGTGTTTTGAGAAGTCTCGGCTTGGATTGGTAAAGCAGGCCCGGCAGGCCGAGTTGCGGAGTTGGCTACCTTAGCTACCTTCCTATATAGTACTTTCTGTCCTGGCAGTCAAGGTTGGTGGGCTGATCTCGGTCTGTTGGTTTTGGGATTTGTCATGGAACGGGGTCTGGGTGCATGAGAGACGGTGGTTCCTGCAGGGAGTACAGTATATTATACCCTTGGCTTGTATTGGATAAAGCTGGCTGGATTGAGACCCTCCCGGGCCGCTCTCAAGCTGGAAGAATGTTGTCAATGCATGTTGGCGCTAGGTTCAATGTTCTATTCTCCATCATGCGTGCCAATGGAACCAACAGTCGAGAGGTCCGTGGGCCTACCAATACAGCCTGTCGACAAGTTGAAAAGACCATACCTACCACAGCGTGAATCTGTGGTTCAGAAGACAATACCTACCTTCGCTCCATTTAATCACCTAAGGTACCTTACACAAGGGAGAATTTGCTTTGAGGTCTGGCATGTCACATGCGAGGGGTGGCTTGGTTGGTTAGGTAGAGAAGTGTGAAACCATTCGGAGTATGTACCTAATCATCAATTTGCTACCTGCATTACTACTACATCTGTAGGTCCACGGATGTCTTCAATGAGACTCAACCCCTTTTCCAGAAGGGAGTTGTACCTCGATCCTCCATCTTCATACTATTTCGACCGTCCTTACTCCGTATATACTACCTACTTAAGGTAGTTATTTTGATGACCCTAGTTACTTCGATACCCTAATTACTTTGACGACCCCTTCTCCGAATCATCAGGGAACTTCCTGAACATGTCCATCAGCTTATCCAGCGGCGTGGTCAGCAATCCCGCTGCCGTCTCAAAAGGCGGCCGATCCGGCGCGGACGGGTGAGAGCGTGTCGGCACAAAGTGTTTCGTCCGATGGAACGAGCGGGCCAGCGAGCCCGACATGTCCGAGTCAATGGCCTTCTCCAGCTCAGGCAAATCATCCCGCTCCTCCTCCGTGATGTGCTGCGACAGCGTCTCCCACAGACTGTCGATGGCCGGATCGAAGTTTGCGTCTGATGGAGACATTTGCTGGAACTCGTACAGTTTCTCCTTGACCTGCTCAAGAGTCAATATGGGGGTTGGCTTTGAAAATGGGAGAGGACGGCAATTACCTGCTGGTGCTCGGCCCTGTCCTTCTCGGCCATCTTTTGCCCGTTGGAAACATGCTTCTCAAAGGCGGGGTAGACGACAATCTCCTCGGCGATGGAGTGTCGGGCTAGCTCCCAGACGAACATATTCTGCCATTTTACCTGTTGCGGGTTGTGAGCTTGTCTGTGACAGGAACAGTGTATTCAGGCGGACTCGATCTGGTTACACACACCTTGTCGTCGTCACGATTTGCGGATTTGATATTGTTGTAGTACTGCTCAAGCTCGCGGTGGTCATGCTTGATGCGATCCGACACGCGGTCAATGGCGTCGGTGGCTGTGGCTGGTTGATTGTGCTGCTCAGTCATCTGATGACGGATCTGGGATATGGTGAATGGGCGACAGGGTACGGTGTTGATGATGCTGTTGCTGGCGGGCCTTGCAAAGGCAACTACTCGGGCAGCTCGGGAATACATGATAGATACGCCTAAGTAAAGTGTTTATTGTACAGTGAGCGGGCGAGGTGTTTACATGCGAACTCAAACCTGTTGAGAGGGAGCGAGGTACGATGGTGACTGCTTGAAGTTAACGCAAAGGACAAGCTTGAGCTCGACATAAACAGTTTGTACGTCCTTTACAGCTGCCCAAAACGGACCATTACCGCATAGTAATAACGTCATCGATTGCAAATATGCCATTTCTGATTGATTGGTGCTGCGAGTCAAGAAGAGATGAGGTGAGCAAGCATCCAACCCTTACCCTCGTTGCCCCTGAAATGTGATGAATCACCACTTCCGGGGGTCAAACCTCAGAGTGCATCGAAAACAAAATGGCAAGAGCCGCCAAACCGCAAGTTTACCTTAAGAATCCTGTTTATTAGATGGCGGTCATTTCTAGGTATGGATGAGAATGGTCTAATCACCCGCTGGATGATATAAACAAAAGTGAGCAGCGCCTCCAAGCGTGTCGGCATCCGATTATGTACACGACAGATGGGGCCGATCAGAGAGATAGAACCCCCATATTAGCTAAAAGATAACCCAAAACAAAATAAACCGCTCATGAGTATCACGCCAATCAACACCACCTCCCTCAACTTAGGGTTTAGACCATATCCGCCCCACGAGTCGCCGGAGCCGGAGCCGGGCCGGCACCAACGGGCTTGCGGTTGAGGTGGCCCGCGCCGTTATTAACGCCGTAGTCATCATAACCGCCATATTTATCCCGGCCCAAGCCTCCATGACGTGAGGAACTCGAACCCCATCCTGCCTTGCGAGTCCACAGCGCATCGCTGAGCTCCATGTCGGCCCCGCCATAACTGAACGGGACCCCGCGGTGCAGCGGGATGTGGTTGTACCGCCAGTCCCATATTGCCGCGTATGTCATGCGATAGGCGGAAAAGGCCATGACGGTCCCGATGATTGCGCCGGCGACAATGTCGTACCAGTTGTGGAATTCATCTATCGTGAGAGCCCCGCCGATCAAAGTGGCGCCCAGAATAGGCGCGTAGACAGCAACCAGCTTCCACATTTGCGGGTGGTAGTTGCTAAACACCTTGAGCTTGGCGTTGAGGTACAGGTAGAGATAGACAAAGCCCGCAAAGGCGGCCGTCGTGTGGCCTGAGGGAAAGCTCTCGAGCGAGTCGTTGATCTCGTTTTGGTCGCCGGTGCAGATCTCGCGCGTGTAGTAGATGTTGGTAAAGCCGGCGGCGTTGTACCCCGCGCCAACGACGCCGGGCGCGTTGGAGGCGAGGCTGATGTCGGGTTTGCAAACGGCTAGGAAGTGCTGGGGTTAGGGGTAGCCTGTTAGTAGATGGTTTCCGTAAGTAAGGGGTGAAGAGAGGGTGGGCTTACGGGTCGCAAACCGCCGATTAGCCACTTCAGGAATACCTGGAAGACGGCGGCGGTAATTAGGGAGTACAGAAGGCCGATGACGGCGTTGTTGACGTCCCAGAAGGAGCGGATACGGATTTGCATGAAGAGAAAGACCACGATTGGCACCAGCGCTGCCAGCAATGCGGCCGCCCAGATTGGGATTATTTCTTGTTGCCAACAGAATCAGCATTTGGGTCTTTGGGGAATTGCAAATGGCTCGATTGTATCGATTTTAGCTTACCCTTCCGCAGCGGATAGCCAAATTCGGGATAAACAATCTCTCCATCCAAGAAAGTAACCGGGAATGATCTAGTCGGGGCGGGATCGGCTTCGTAGACCTGGATTGAACGAGTTTAATTTTCAGTCTTCAGAGTTGCTTTTCCGGGCGATGATGGGCCTCGGACGGGAGGAGGAGAGACCGGATAACTTACACCAAGTCCAATGGCTCCCATGATCGCCATCGTAAGGATGTCTAGCCAAGTGTACTTGAGCCATTGACCGAAGCTGGGCCGCTTTGACATGGTATACGGCTCCGTGACATGGTCGCGCCCATCGTGATGTCGCCTGGCGCCATGGTGGCCACCGTTGGTTGTTGTCGCTGCCGTGCCAGTTGCGCCGTTATTCACCGTGGGTAGCTGGGGTTCCCGTTTGTGCCTGAAAAGACCCATGGTGGTCGATCGGGACGGAGCTCGATGCAGTCAGTTGCTGCTGCTGGTAGAGTTGGACTCAGAGACCTCGGAGGTCGGTCTGGACTCTGGACTCTGGACCGCCTGCGAGTGTGGGTAGCGGTGAGTGGTCGGGAAGGACGTCAACAAGGCAGCCCGGGCGATTTACTCGGAGGAGAACGGTAGACTTTCTGGATGGTTGAGCGCACACAGACATGATTTATACTGAAGTGAGCAACAAGGGTTTTTGGACAGGTCGTCTGGAATCTGTGGATGAAGGACGTCATTGTCACGCATTCCTTGGCAGAACTTGGCACCGTTGGCAGGTGCTACTTTGGGCAATTGCCGCTGCCAGGTTCGTTCCCGATTGGCTGCCTGCATTTCCATCCCCTGTATCGCGTCCCCACCAGGGCAATGTTCCCACACCGGCAGCATCCCACACACCACGAAACCCAAAAACCCAAGGTGAAGGCAAAGGGCGACTGGGTAGGTACGCGTGGAGGTCTGCCATCAGGCGCGTCCTTGGTTTTGTCGATTCGGTTTGGAATCGGGTTTCTGCTCAGTATTCGGTACAATTCGACGTGGGAAGGCATTTGACTTTGACAAATTGACAGTTTGCTGAGTTTGGCAGCTTTGGCGCGGCCATGCGCTAGGTCGTTAAATCTTAATACGCCCGGTCACCGGTGTTGGCAGAGTGATTGGACTTGCTGGATCGGTTAGAAGCGCGGATTTCTAAGTCAGGTAGCAATGGGCGAATCCATTGATTCCATTCTACTTTGCGTATGGACGGTGAAACGTTCAGTAGTACTGCAGCAGGGCTGAGATTGAGAGGGCTGAGTGGGTGTTGATTCCCTTAACGAATGGGCACGGTTTGGTTTTGCTCAGGGCCGGTCCGGGAGGTGTTGCCTCCCGACAGGCCTACGTCACTTCCGGGCTCGGTGGGGCCGCAGGTGTCGGTACCCCGACCGAATGCAACGTCAGTCGCGCAACGTCAGCCTCCGGCCCGGGATATGTATTGTCCATGAGAGTGCCGGTCCGCGAAGTGTTGAGCTCAGCTGAACATTGGGTCAGCTCTTTATCGTTACTAGTAGTTATGCGTGTTCTCCAAGAGACAGAACTCTCCGAGCTTAATGTAACCCCTCTATTCCCCTGTGCCGCTGGATTGTTCACTGTCCCCTTGTATAGGTGCCCAACAAAGGACCAACTTATCAAGTATGGTCGGGGCTGGACTCAAAGACCACAATCATACAATGATTTTTACGTACCTATTCATATAAATCTAGTAACTACACGATGTAAGAGGATATTGTTCCAATGAGAATGAAAACCAGGACGTAGGGTCGGGCAGAAGTATCTGCACTAGCAATGCAATGGAAACCATGTTCCGGTCTGGCTGTAGCCACTCCGGCTAGTTATCATGCCAAGTCGCTGGAGTCGTCAGCGAATGATTACCTTGTGGAGTCACCCGCGTCCAGTTTAGCACGTCCCAATCGTCTCCTACACATGTTTCCGTACTTGACCGGATCGGACAAAGATTCACTTCCGTCCGAGTCACTTACAGATTCACTCCCGTCCGAGTCACTTGCGCCCACTGGGTACTTGTACATGTATTCCACCCAGAGCTTGATAAGCTCCTAACTCTGGCCATTGACAAGCGTCGGAGTCACTGAGGCTTTGAGGACCTTTTCTGGGCCGAGGGGAAATGATGAGTGAGGCTGAAACTTCATGTTTGCGACGTCTGATATTGATAGTTGAGCCAGTTCTTGTTTGAGATTCCGATATGGAGTGTTTTTGTTGCGAATAGCGTATCGAAAGAACTTGCACCACGACCTCACCGCCCACCTCAGCTCTGGGAAGCTGGCAGTGGGGTCAAATAGTTCACGGTATTTCTCTTTGTCAAAAATCAATCCAAAAGCCAATGCTACCTCGTTGGAGGGTTCGCTGCCGGATTTCTCGCCACTAGACGTGCTAAGACAGGGAGGGGAAGTAATGGTAGCAATACCGGCTACTGCTGGCTTCGTAAAAATGATCTTCGTGGGTCGCCCAATTCAGAGAAACACTGCAGGGAGCTTCGGTCCCATTGCCCGATCGGGTAAAGCTGTGATATTGAGATACCACAACCTGCGAGTTCCGCCGGGTCTAGTATAACAATCCAGAATATGCGGCGCTCCTGCCCAGTTCCTCTCAAGAGTGAATCTGGTAAACCACCGTAGCGATCTTCGATATCAGTGGTATAAGGTACTCCGCGGCTGAGCTTTATTCTCTCGAATTAGAGGGAGAACTCCTTCTGTATACGCTCTATAGTTCCGTTTCATTGTTAGAATTGGGCGCTAAAGATGTGACATAGATCTCTTGTCTTTAGATGTGGCTAGGCAGTGCACTTACCAGTGAGCTTAACTTGGCCACCACCGCTATCGCTCATCCCTTTGGCTGGTCGAGAAAAGTTGAGCCCAAGCGATATCACCTTCCCGGGAGCTTCCTCCCCTTGTGGTATGCGGACGTTCTGAGACTCGCCCCCGTGCATAGAATATATGAACCTCTTGTAGGGATTGCCGCTGTGGCGGATATGGAGCCGGGCATAGGACCCTGGAGCGGCTGGGTCAAGCGCAAGCAGCATCGCTGGAAATGTCCCCGGTATAGGTCCTGCCTGGCAGTAGAGAACAACAAGGGCTAACGTGGCCGCTAGAGATGGACCATCTGAAGCTGCACGCAACAGATCGTTGCCTATAATTATAATATCTCCTGACTTGTTACGACATTCACAAATCCAATCATTCCACCACCTTTCAGGGATGGCTGTCCGCAAAACGACGGAAAATTCTGCGCTAGCTCCAATGTTGTTAATATTTGGCAGTGATCCGATGGAACTCGTTTGAGGCAGCAGCGATATATCATCTGACCTGGCGAAATATTGGGGAGAGGGGGCAAGGCAATGTGAGGGGCGGTCGACAGTGCTTGTGTCCGGATACTAAGCAAGTATGGATTGGTCGTTTGTAATCTTTGTAATTTCTTGCTGGAGACGGATGAAGGACTTTCCTCCCTCGCCGTACAGGAGCGGCATGTTGACGTCGAAAAGGCCCATCAGGCAGTAGGCTTCGTCTTCTTTCCTGTTGTCGTTCGCTTCGAGGCCCAGTACATCCTTCTGGCCACACTCACGTCCTGGGGCTTAACGACGCCAGCCAGAACGCATTCATCGACCAAGCTTGATGAGGAGACCCGCGAAATGAGCTTGAGGTCTCGTTTCTCACCAAGGTATTCCCAGGTTCCGGAATAGACCTCGACTCGTCTTGGCGCAATAAGCTCTTTGAGTGTCCAACCCCGGGTGAACCATCTGCTCCTGCTCAGATCGCTCGGTTGCGCGACATCACACAGGTATGCGAAGCAAACATCAGATAGGGTGTACCACATGTACATGGAGTTGATGGCCTCGGAGAGCTCAGCGCTGCTCGATTTGTCGATGCAACAGGTATCAATCCAGATGTGCTTGAAACCCTTACTGGCGGCGAGAGCACACGCGCCCTGGAATTTCGCAAACCCGATCTTGGACTGTGCCCTCGGGATATCCGCCATGTCGCTGAATAGCACCTCTTCCTTCTCCCATGTGTGAGAGAGAATAGCATATTTCGGACTCATCGAGTCGAAGAACTCTTCCAACTGGAATGTGGTGGTGTTGATGAGTCTCATGTTGCTCGGAAGCGCGGTGCGCGATTGTTCTCAGTCGTGTTAACTTTCGAATCCACCGTCGAATTCACCGTCGAGATAGAGAAGATTTGGGCTATCCGATGTCGTAGTTGCGGATAGAGTTCTATGAACGTTAATGCTCCTTGGGGTACCTTGGGGTGAGTCTGCTCGCGTGGATATGCCGGACGTCCGAATTGAAGTGGCTGAGATATTGGGGGAGAGAAATGGTGCCCAACCTGATCACTGGGTGCATCTCCAGGTAGACATGCTGGCGGCCGGGCACAAGGCAGTCGCCACCCGTTGGCTCGACCTTCTACCTGGTATCTAGATATTGGACCCCACCCGTATATTTACGTAGATTCTTCGTCTGTACGCTTCGTCTACTATACAACCAACAACCCACAATTGATATATCGGCCATTCTCTCACACTTGCTCACTATTCCATGGCGGGCTCGGTCTGTGGGCTCGGTGGGGCCCGCAAGGTGTCCCTTCCCCGACGTCATCCGGGCCGGGCCGGCCCAAGACATTGCCGGTCTCTGTCCTGACTACCGGTTCGCGAAGGGTTTCGCTCAGACATTGGGTCTTTGTAGGTTATTAGCAGTCGTGTGGTCAAAGAGACAGGAGTTTCCAAGCTTAGTATCACCCCCTTTTCTTTATGCCGCTCGACTGTTCAATCACAATGTCCCCTTTCATTCCCAACAGAGCATCAACTCGTCAAGTATAGGCTTGCTCAAACACTAGGTATGTACAATCAACTCCACTTCATTGATATGATCCTAGCAACCGCATCATCTAAGAGGACATTGTTATGACAGACTAAGAAAAAGGAGGTTGAGTAGGATGTATCTGCACCAGCAATGCTCTGCGAAACCATGTTCCCGTCTGGCTGTTGCCATTCCGGTTCCCTACATGTGCCTCAACACCAAGTCGGCGTGCAGGACGGTTCGTGATGTCTGCCGCAAGCTCGACGAGTCGACGTTCACCTCGCCGAGAAGGGTATCCGCATTCACCTGGCCTGCTGGCAAGTCACAAGCTCATTCATGCTCCGCATCCTCTTGCCGACTAATCGCCCGGCCAGGTTCTCGCCGAGATCGAGCAAAGCGGGTACTCCTGTCCCCGGCGAGTTGCCCTAATGGCTTGCCCCGACGAGTTCCCACGACATTATTGTGCAAAAACTCGACGATTTCTTGACCACAAATTCCCTCCCTCACCCTCCGCAGGTTTCCTTTTCCTTCTTCCAAACCAAATCTGCGGCCTTGGATTGCCACAACTTCCATCGAGACCTGAGACCTCGAGGGCCATATCATCATCGCCAACTCAAGCTAGTAGGTAAGAAAAATGCCGGAGATCGCGAGAGTCATGATTTCTGCTTCAGGCGACTGGATTCTGTCGAATCCTGCGAAATTCGCGGTCAATACTTGCTAGCATCGTCGAAAACTGACCAGTTCTCCATTTCCTCGTCATGAAATCTTCGAGCCATTGCTAATCATTCTTCATGTTCAAAGTTGCCTCCGCTGCGACCAACCGTCCCAATGGCTACCTTTACCAAGAACGACGATGCCGAGGCGCCTGCCGGCAGAGACTCCCTGCTGCAGATCTTCACCGAGCGGGAGCAGCTGATCATTCTCCATGGTTTTCTCACCATGCAAGATTCCGTCCCGAAGGTATGTTTGGCCTCCAGTGTCTTGTTTCAGCTATCAGACATCAGCTCCTAGGTAGTGTCTCAAGTTTGATCTGAGGATCGGCTGAGATTGATGACACGAGCTCACATCCCAAATCACAACCCGTTTCCCATCCCGATTCATTAACAGTCACTCAAACTGACCTTGGCAATCCAGATCGACTACGCCAAAGTCGCTGAGCGCATGGGCCTGAACCCTCGCAGTAAGCTCAAGTTTCCTCCCCCCTCACTCCGGGTCGCATACGCACCCACTGACTTCAAGTTCGCTCAGCGATCGGCAACGCCTGGGGCGCCATCAAGAAGAAAATCTCTGCCTTCGACAAGGAGGACCGCAAACGCAAGGGCCTCCCCGAGCAGGACGATGACGACAAGTCCGATGAGGACACCCCGAAGGCCAAATCCAAGCCCACTCCCAAGCGCGCTCGTACCACCAAGGCCGTCCCGGGCACCCCTGGCACTCCGACCCCCAAGCCAAAGAAGACTCCCGGCCCTGGCCGCGGCAGGAAAAGCGCCAAGACTTTGCTTTCAGCTGCTCGTGCGGTTACTGATGACGAGGAGGAGGAGATCATCAAGAAGGAAGAGGCGGCCATGAAGCGTGAGCTTGTGGCTGAGGAGGCCGATGACGACGCCGCCACTGTGGTTGCTCCTGATGCTGCTGAGATCTGATTCAGTGAGCATGCAGTGGGCTGTGCAGCCTGACAGTGGAGGTTAGGGCTTGAGACATGAGATGATCCTAGGGCTGAGATGGAGCATAAGGCTGGAGTGATGGAAGAGAACCCTAGGACTCCTTAAGAGCACATTGAGAAGTCGCCTGAAGGCGCAGAAAATGACGGGAATCGTCTAAATTGTTTCAGCTTCTTGCCGGTGGTGAATGTGATAATGTGATGGTCTTGCTCACTTGTTCAATTACGTCCAAGTCTTCCCATCGCCCCCGCAACTGGGAAGGAGCTGGGCAGATTTCGTCGCCCGCCACAACCGCCGACGATCAGAGACCTCCCCAAGTACTCGAGTACCTAGGTACCTTTCTGGACTCATAATGGATACGAATATGGTATCACGACGTGACAAGGCAGTGTATCTCGCCCTTATAAGGCAGCGTAACTTGAGTCTGGACTCTGGAGCCTGGACGGTCAAGGACGTCAGCCCTGTATCGTCGGAACTCCCGAATTCTTGGGTTGACCGGGAGTGGAAGCTTGACAATTCCTGGTTCAGCTTGCCAAGCACGGTTTAGCGTTCCTGCGTCCCTTCCATCACAAACGGGCCCGGACCTTCCGTGCAGTGTCAGACGGACAGATTCAACGCCGCCACGCGACTGCGTCAGCGTAAAACACATCACTCAACATCGTCCTCAGGTACGTGAAATTCAAGTTGTGGGTAGGCCGGGGAAACATGTTCTTTTACAAAGCTCATTGCCCGATAAACTCATCCTTCATATCAGCAAGGTAGAATCATCTGGGACACAGAACTTCTCATTCTTCGACTGAAACCTCGTGGATTTATTACTAAGGACGTATCGGGAATTTTCTCAGCCCTAAGGGGCTTTCACTGTCTTTCGTTTCCAGTTATGCGATTTCGTCCCAGAAATCGGGGACAGCCGAAGAAAATCTTGCAGGTTTTCTGTCTGGATTGGACGACGGGTGCTTGAACCGCCGCTGACCTGCAGTATCAGCTCGCAGCCGAGCCAGCCCCTGCTGTGCCCCTGACGTGAATGTCAGCAGAACTGACAGGGCGAAAACCCGTTTACCTATGCGTCTCTGCTCTTTCCCATGAACGTGATGATTCACGATTTTTGGGCATCAGAGCTTGATCTTCCGTTTGCATTCGATTGGATCTCCTGTTTTACTCCCTCATTTATGGTCGAATCTTCACTCATTCACCCATTGAGCCATTCTCTTTCATGTATCATTAATTCCGAGTACCTAAGAACGATTCGACATGCCAGCCCAAACCCCATCTACTTGTCTGAGTGAGAAGCCTCACGATAATCGCGTCTCGGATTTCGTCACGCACTTCAACAGTTGCTTGCCGGCCCGCAAACGACGGCGTTTCTACGAGAGCCTGCCACCGGAAACACAACAACGCATCACACGCCGCAATGAAAAGGTTCTCGATCTGCGACAGCGTTTGGAAACGACGCAATATGACTCGACTGCAGGCGCGCGCTTGAGAGACTTCAAGCAGGCAATGTCTCAATGGAATGCCGCCCTGGGCAGACCGCACTCCTCTTATACTTACCAGCAAAGCCTTGGGTCTGAATCCTGGCGATCTCCAAAACTATCCGAGTTTGGAAGGGCAGATGACAGCGTGAACAGACACATCAAGGCGCCCGTCATCTACTTCAAGAATGGACAGCCATTCGATGTACCTGGATTGCCCAAAAGTTTCCCGGACCAGAAGGTCCCCATGGCGGATCTTCTGTCTGACGACAAGACGAACCCCATCATGCAACCAGCTGACGACGACGTTATACGGTATTTTCATCTGCCTGCAAACAACATGGTTTGGGTCGAGGAGATCATGGCGCGCTATTATCGCGAGAAACGGCCTGACCCGGACGAATTCGCATCGAACTCCAGGAGATTGAAAACCAGGACCGAGTTGTTGCTGCGGCCCGAGTACTGGCAGGGTCAACAGAATTTTGACGCTGACTCTGAGATTCATGCAAGTTACCTTGTCTCCCCTCTAAGGTCAGAAGTGCCTCCCAAGCTAATCGGCGTCTACAGGCCCGGCATATGCGATCTTTCTTTTCCACCATCTCTATCGACCCCTTCTCTTCCGAAGCGAACCCCAAGAATTTCGCCTTGTTCCTATCCTACCTCCACTGGGAGACTGATCGTGGCAGAGCAAAGCTTGCTGAGATTGCCAAGAACATCAGCCAGAATCACTTGACGTCAGTCTCTGAGGTTGTGGATCAGGCCAAGCATCAGTTCGAAACCCCTGATACGAGTGTCCCCGCGTGGGCATCACCTCCACTCCCCATGGCCTCCCCAGTGCGCTCTAGTGTTGAGAAACGGAAGGCCCTCGGGCAAGTCTTGCGCGCGGCAGCTGCATTGCTGGAGGCTATGGACCTCCACACAGAGGAACAGCTCATGAAAGAGTATCTGCATGCCCAACCGCCACTGCATCCCAGGAGAACCCTGGACCAAGCCTACTATGGCGCTTTGAGGAGCACGCGAGCTCGTGACCGAGATCAGGTCGTATACAGAGGCACGACTCCGGAGCCCCACAATTGCATAGGGATGGACTCTTGTCCTCAGTGTAACGAGGATATCCGGAAGACACCACGCCTGATCATGGTCGATCAGTTGTGGCTGTGGGTTCTGGATGAGAGTATGTGCCCCCAACTTTCCCTCAGATTTCGTCTTGTGAGCTAAGACAGCGTTAGGAACCGTGATTACCAGCTTCCCGCGCAGATGGGGCAGACACAAACCGGACCCTTCGGCAGTGCACAAGAGCATTCGGATGCGTCTCAAGAACGTGCGTCAGGGCGAGATTGCAAACGTATACGACCTTGCCCTCCTGATTGTGGATGAGACGTCGCGCGTCTTCTTCGACCGGACCAAGACGAACCAGAGACAGCCTAATCTGGTTGAGCTGTTCAACGGGGCCATTCGGGATCTGACGTACAAGCAGACGGCAGCTTTTGATCAGTTCTTGATATATACACATCTAGCGTCGCGGGAGTACAAACGGCAGCGATACGCGTCGTTTGACAATTCAAACCAAAACAATCTGCTTAATATCAACCCGGAAGGAGAGCTGTTGAAGGAGGTGGTATGTACATACAGCTCCTTTCCTCCCCGTTTCCCCTTAACTGTCACCCAAGCACCCAACGATCGACTTGGTAGAACAGAGGGCCTCTGTCTTGTGCAGCTACACATCTCATGGCCACCTCTACCCTCAAAAGGGCAGCATATGGCTAACATTGTCTCCAGAAAGACGTTCAGGACGAACTAAAAATATTGATCACAATCATGGAGCAGCAGGCAACCGTGACCAAGTTAATGGTGAAGCAAATCCGCCGAGAACTGGTGCCCCTTGCATGCCCGAAACGCCCCATCTCGTCTCAGAGCTCTGTGTCGTGGGATGCAGAGACAGCCAGTGCCTATGACATCCCGATTGACGACGAATCGGAAGACCAGCGTCGCCAGAGCGCCAACCGTACTCTCCTCAGGGCCAACACCGTTCTGTCCGACCTCAATGACCGCATCTCGGAGCTTCGTAACCTGCTTTCCAACGCGCAGCACACCTCGGCCTCTGTTAGCATCCACCCCGCCCCCCCCCCCCGGCCCCGTCAGATCCAGCTAGCTAACACTGTCCCATTGACTACAGCTCAAAGACCTCCTCACCCTAAAACAACAACAAGCCGGGGTAATCGAAGCCCGCGAAGCCGTCAAACAAGCCCAGCTCACACTCAAACAAGGCCAGTCCATCATGATCTTCACCGTCGTGACAATCATCTTCCTCCCGCTCAGCTTCATCGCATCCGTGTTTGGCATGAACGCGCGCGAGTTCACCACCGACAGCCACATGCCACTTTCTACCGAATTCAAGCTCATGTTCCCCGTCAGCGCGGCCATCATTGTCACGTCGTTTCTGTTTGCTTTCTCTCGGTCGGTGTTTTCGAATAGTGTCGTGACGCTGGTGGGAAGTGCGGTTAGTTTTGCGTGGAATACGGGGGTTACGTGGGTGTTGGTTAAGAGTGGGTTGTATGTGCTGGGTAGGGAGTGGCAGGTGAAGGCGAATCGGTTGAGGGAGAGGGAGGGGAGGGTGACGGGGAATATGAAGGCTGAGGTACTCAGGAGGGAGAAAAATTTGGAGAGGATGAGGGCTGCGGGGCATGTGAGGGAGTTGGCGAGGACGAGGTCTGCTGGGGGGGTTGATGCGGGCAGAGGAGAGCGGGCGGGGACGCCGTTTAGTCCGCCGTACTCGGCGAGCATACCGGGCAGTCCGAGCCCGTTTTTGGCTACTAGTAGGAGCAGCAGTACTTTGTTTCAGGGAAAGGGAGTGGCGCCGGTGGGGGTTGCGGAGGTGGATGTTGAGCTGGGCGAGCGGATATCGAGGAAGCCGAGTTCACAAAGGCATCTTACCCTTCCGGGGTGAAACGTACACACCTGGCTGGGAAGGGACGAGGGTTCAGATGGACGTCAAAACCAAGTGTCTTTGCAAGCGGCCATGTGCACCCCCAACAGCCAGTTCGGATGTGTCAAGTCACGACGCTGACACCAAGACAGACTCAACCCGGCAAGTGAGGTGGGCGCGCAACTGCGATATATACTGCCATGCATTTCTAAAATACCTGGCCACAAGAGAAGATATATACGTGAATCACCCTCCTCCTACTCTTCCACTCACCCCTTACCCTTTACCCGTTACCACTTACCCCTCACCCTCCACCAGCCCAGTTCCGTCCACTCTAGTCCAACCACCTTCAAGTCAATTCAAGCACTGCGAATACCACTGATTCGCAGCCTTGCACGTCCCCTGGCTACAGCACGTCGGGCCCTGCCAGTTCATGCCGCCGCACTGTCCCCACAACGCCGCACAATTACCTCCTCCCGTGCCACCAGTCGGCGTGGGAGTCGAGCCCGCCCTGGTGGTGGTGGCTGGGGACCCGCCACCGGTAGTGCTGAGCTTGCTCCTGACAAAGGCAAGTGCCTGCTGGCCGTACTTGACGCCGTACTGCTGGTGTGCGTTGGCGTCGTTGCCCGTGCAGCAGTAGGGGTCGACTGCGTCGCAGTAGTTTTGGATTTTGGAGCTGGAGTTGGAAGCGCAAACGTATCCCCGGGGGCGGGCAGCGAACTGTGATGGGGGGTGGTGAGGTTAGCACGGGGGGGGGGGGGACATACACCTTGAGCCGTGCAGGTTCCTACATTGTAGGACAGCCCCGCAACATAACGGGGACTACCCATCAAGATGACGGCCTTGATCTGGTTGAGCGCGGCGGCTGAGATGGGCGGGGTGGTGGTGGTGATGCCAGACCCCGTGTCCGGCCCGCCGCAGACGGCGTTGTCCATGATTTGGCCTCCCTTCGCTTCGTTAGCCCCAGCCACTCCCAACCTCCTCTCCATCCATCCATAACAGCACGAGGAGCACATACCTGGGAATACCCAACCAAGACAATCTGCGTGCTCGGACACCGCTGGTTAAAGGCATTAACCGCCGACGCGACTGCGCTCGTGCCCTGCCGCGCTGAGTCGCCGTACTGGACGCCCCCGCAGGACGCTTGTCCGCCACAGGCAGGGTAGTTGATGGCCTCGGACGTGGCCCCGGGGAAGGCGCCCTTGATCAGATCGACTACCTGGCCCGCGGTGCCGTAGCCCGGTGGAACGGTCGTCTCGCGCGCGCCGAAGATGTGGATTTGAGGGCATGATTGACGGTTGGCGAGCACCGCGGCCTCGTCGGCTTCGATCGGAGACCCGCTGACGAGCAGCGCGTGCGCCTGGAGGAGGAGGAAGGCGAGTTTCGGGGTCGGCCACATGTTGTCTGGTTGGGCGGTGGTTGTAGCTACTTAGGGGGTGCTCCTAGGGTACTGGCCGCTTGTTGTAGTTGTCAGCCGTGGAGGGTTGTCACAAGCCGGAGACCATGGTGGAGAGATTGGGAACATTGAGACGTTTATGTACAGACTTCCACAGCAGTCCTGGTCTACCTGGTTGTGTCTCGACCCGCCCCACTTCATGCTTGACCTGGCCCCTGAACAAGGTCCGGATCGGGTGATCCACCTAGGGTCGGTGGACCACAGCTGCTCCGGGCCCAATGCAACCATGTTGGGGTATCTCTGTGACGACAGCCACAAGCTCAGGGGTACATTCCGTTCCTCCGTCGGAACATCCAGTTCAGGTGTGCAGAATGGGTAACGCTCCGAGTCATGACACTAGTTCCCTGATTTTGGATAGGCAGTCTAGCTTCAAGTTTGATGAGGCCACGAAAGATCCCTAGTGGCCGGACAGCGGCTTTAGGTACCGACGGTATGAAAGGCAATGGGACAAAATTGCAAGGAGATCGAGACACGAAACACTTCTAGAAGACAGAGTGGAGTCAACCCACGGAAGGGAGTCCCACGTCCACGTGTTTGTCCCGGTACGCCTTAGGAGCCAAGGCGAGGCTCAATACCTCGCATGAACGGTAGCACTCTCAATAACACCCGGGGTACTAGTGGCTTGTGTGGTAGGAAATTCCGGGGAAGAGGAACCCAAGCCTGCATGCCATAGAGCACCTCAGACCCGTTACCTGGTTTGCTGCGTCTGCATGATGCTCAAAAGAAGCATATGGAGATCGGTTGGACTGCGTCCGCACCTGGGTGGCAGTGGGCGGTGGTATCGAAGGCATGAATTTAGCCATTAGCCTAAATTCAACTCCCGGGCGGCCGGTAACTTAGGGCGTCCTACTACAAGCTTTCTCCGAACGGCCCCGCAACTTCGTTTCAGCACTCGGATGAGTCTCCGAAGTCAAATTTGCACGGGGCGTGGAAAGTGGAAACATTGCTGTTGCTGTTTCCCTCGTGTTGTAAACTGTCCGAAATCGATAAGCCCGTTATTTAGCATCTTCATAGCACATTCCACTCACTAGGTAGACTCTAGTGAGCTTGCCAGATATTCAAATTCTGGCAATTGAACATGAGGAATTATACATGACTTTCTTGACCTTTGATCTCTTGTTGATGGGCCCCTTATGACCAGCCTTTCCCGTGATGTGGAGGTATAGGACGTTCAGAAATACTGTACGGAGAGTGGCGTGGGGCTTTGATACCCTGCTGTTGCCCCTTATGCCCGGCACTTCGTTGTCAAAGAAATTGTGGCTGGGAACAGGAGCTAAAAGTACCTTAGGAAGAGCAGTGGGCGGAGGAGAATTGGATTTCACCGGACAGCCGTTGAGAAAGCTCGAAGGCGCGAAAAGCTTGTGCAAGTATTAGTACTGTACCTCTGATGATGAGTCCTTAGCTAGGACTAGCGGGCAAAGGAGCGCAAATCGTCTTCGCCGTGCAGTAGCAATACCGGTGTATACACAGGCAATGGGTGTTGGTTGGTGTACACAATCTAATGGAAAACAGGTAATGAGATAACATTGTAGGTAGTCTATTTGTCCGTTATGTCCAATGTGCCTTTACAGCGTAGACTCATTGAACAGATTGCTGCAGGCGATACTCTCAA